AGGGCCACCCTCCTACGTAGGACCATAAAACTGAGGGCGTTTTGGCAGAAAGGCACAATAGATGCATACCGAATTCCCTACGAGCCCCATATTTAGCCAATCAGAAACGTCAATTAGCAAATCGTGCCAAAGTAGTGCGCACCCTATGTCATCACATACAGCAGTCTTCCACAGCGTATACCCGGTGGTAGTGGACGCGCAGCAAAACAGTTCATGAAAAATTCCTATTCGGCAGAAGAGAAACGGAATGTGCTAGATTATTACGCAGAGCATAATGACATGAAGCCACAATTAAGTCCTTCTATCCTGGCTTTTCACCTGACAAATTTGAAACTCGTTGAACACTAATTATGTCGTGGCGCCGGAATCGTGGGAAGATCGAAGAACTTAGCAGTCAAAAGGGAGGGGCTAGCAAGCGCAAAACGCGAAGCGTTGGTTTGGGAACCATTTTGTCCAAACAAGACGAGGAGAAACTAGTGAGGTGGGTAAACGAACTAAGGGACGAGGATGTACCTGTTACAGCTACGATGCTGCGTATTCAGGCACAAGATGTTGCTGTCCGTGCTGGCATCACGAAGGGTCGTGGTGCTGGCAAGACCACTTTAAACAACGCCATCATCTATCACTTCGCTGCAACACGTGACAAGGGCAAGTTCAACCTCCGGAACTATCAAAAATTGTCGAAGATTTTGCAAGAGTAGTGAAAGCTAAAGCGACTGAGATCGACGCAACACGTATTTTTAATGCGGATCAGACAGGTTTTTTTTTTTTTTCATCTTATAACGCATGCTTTGTTATTATTTAATTTTTATATATATTCTGCAGCTGCTTGTTTCGAATATCTTCCAAAGAAAACACTGGCAAGAACAGGGAGTAAGACTGTTTGGGTTCGCTGTGGCAATATAACGAAGGCCAGAGCAACTGTAATACTGCTCGGTGATTCTGTTCATCAAAACCACCAGCGCGACGGGGTGAAATTACAGAACGTCGCCACGGATTTAGTGTTGGTATGTGGCCGGGCTCAATCGCCCAGTCTGAAATCGAGTATAACATGTAAGTCTACGTCAACCAGAAAGGTATCGTAACCCTTATTGTTTTATTATTCTAAAATTTATTCTGATTTTTTTCTTATTAGGCTGGTGGAAAAGTTATTTGACGAACGAGTTTTCGCGATTTCATTTCGCCAGCCGTCCTGCACCACACGAGGCGATCCGTTGCTACTTGACGATTTCTCTGGACACTGGTCCAGTGACGGCGTAGAGTATGCTAAAACCATTAATGTCACGATTCTAAAAGTCTCTCCAACCGCTACCTCTGTGTCACAGCCGGCGGATGCAACGTGGAATGGTCCCCTCAAAGCTAGAATACGAAACAAATCCATCGATCTATTTACACTTAGGTTAATGGACACCGTTACTACTAGTACTACTACTCCTACGTTTGGAGGCAACGAATTGATTCAGGAAAGCCGACTCACTTCACTATGCAGTAAGCTTCTTTTTGCCGCTGTAGGATATCGAATGGTTCAACGATGATGAGAGTGCGTTTTGTATGCGAATACTTCAACGGTCGTGACAGCACGTTTCGTTGATAGGCCACTTTCTGGAAAAGTGTCCTGTCAAGAAGATATCTATACTCGAATGCTCTTTAGCTCTCGGATTCCATGTCGCACTGTACGTGGGGTATCCTGATTCAGGTCTTCTGACTGGGAGAGATAGTTTGTGCGAGATGCTCATAAAAAGATGGACAATTGGAGATAATCGAAATCGAAACCTGTCGGTTCCAGACGGAATTCTATGGGATTCTTTCGATGGTAGATGAAGTTTAAATATTGTATTTTTTCCTTTTTATTTCCTAACTTCGATCTCAAGTCGAAGTTAGGCATTGATTTCGATCTCATGATGGCTTGTCTTCGAGCTTGAGATCAAAGTGAAGACCCTAATTTCCACTGCAAACTAACAAAGTTTCTGTGTGAAATTCAAGTTTATTCTTCATAACAATTCCAGTTTTGAGTTCAATAACATTTTACGACAATAATATTCGATAATAACGGATTCTCATATTTTTCTATCTTAAAATTAGCAGATCAAAATTGTTTCGCATATCTTAGAAACACCTCAAAAGATTATTTTGCTAAGAAAATTGTTTTCAGGTCGAGACATATTTTGGTTATTCCAAAGGCGATTTTGATATTTTAACTAGAAGTTTCTCAATTGCAATTTTGCGGTATACTCTGTTTTAGTTGCAGTTCTTCGAGAAGAATCGTCAACACCCAAAGAACCTAGTGTCTCTTATGATTTCGCCTCTGAAGGATATTACGCTTGGTTTCGCGCTCGCTAGGGAACGGTCTGGTCTGGAGAATCTGGAAGGGCGGCGAGATGGACCGGATCAGCCGATTTTATAAGTTGCAGGAGGCCCAGGAGGCGAAGAAGAAGATAACCCGTCGAAGACTGATAATCTTGTAAGGTTAAGCTTTCGGCAACACGGCAACATCGTCTACTACGTGGCACAATAATAACCGAAAATGATGTCGAGCTGGATTCGACCGCAGCAGATGAAGTGATGCAACTTGTGAGCAGGCTTCGCACTTTTTAAAAAGGAATTTTAAGAATATTATCATACAGCTATCCCAATATGTCCTCCGCTAAGCGTCTGCCATTTTGTAGTTGCAAGCTTTGAAGCGAAACCTCCGCCGTCACCAATGCAGCTCGAACCTCGGTCGTGTAAATTCTCTCGGGATCTGCTCGAGGAACTTATTCTTCCAGATAGTCTTTCTAAATTCCTGCTCTTCCACTTCATGACGACGGCGGAGACGCTGGGCTCTTGGAGCTTGAGTGTTGTACCTGGTTATCAATCTTCTCAATAGAAGCATTTGCATTTGTTAGGCGACGCAACAGAGTTCTCATGGCAGCTCGGTGAGAACTACGAAGGCGCTTTCTTTCTCAATACGCTGTCTGCGTCGCCATTCACGCATCTGATCATGTACTACGCGTCGACGATGCGCATCTTGGTCTTGTACCAACTGCTTTGCGAGTTGTCGCCCTCGATTCCCGCACGCTTTCACATTATCGAAAACATCATACAAATCTTGAGAACCAGTTGTGAATGTAATGTACTCAAAAGCCTCACTTTCGCGAGCTCTGTTGCTTGGGTAGTGCAACGCGTTCTCCACGTTGTACAGGAAGTTCATGTCTGGAAACAAACCAGTAATGCAATGCCGTAACACCAAGTTAAACTGGCTACGAGGGTAATTTTTGCCTGGAATGAGTTCTGATGGAAATCTAGACGCTCGATCCAAAAAACGAAACACTTGTAAAATCCAGATTTCCCAACGGCATTATCACGGAAATCCTCAATATGCTCAAAGGATATGCACCAGGTAGAGCGAAAGCGGGATCTCGATCCGCAACTCGTGCTTGGGAGTGATGTGCACGATTTTGTTTCGAGGAACTGTCGGACAAGTTATCTGCCAGGGGGTGGGCGATCTATTATGTCGTCTGACGTACCGTTTTGTTAGTTACAGTACCGTCCAAACCAGCAGAAACATTTCTAAACGTTTTAAAACATTTTCTATGTTTTAACGTCACCTCCTTACAAACGTCAAGTCAAACATGGACCGCAATTTTTTCTGGCCAATGAAATGTTTCTAAACAGTTTGGCCTCGCTGCAATACAAACTTCACGTCAAAAAACGACTGAAGCCCAAAAGGACCCAATAAAACTGCGGTCCACTTTTGGGCACTTCTACAAACTTCAAGTAAAAAAAAAACGTCAAAAGGCCCAAATACCAAAAAAAAAAAAACGGCAAAAGGCCCAAATGCCAAAAATTAAAAAAACGGCACAATTTACTCAATCAACATGCCACGTATACTGCTGGTGCTGGTGCTGGCGCTTGGTTGCGCAGCTTCCGTGGCGGCTGAAGCGTTATCGGCGCAAGATTCACTCGCGCTGGATCTAGTGGAGCATAGTCACCTTGGCCACGAGCTTGAGAGCGACGGTGTTGTGGTGCGCTGTCGCTCGTGCGGTGCTCCTGTCGCGTTGAAGAAGTGCGCACTCTCCCTCCGCATCGCTCTGGTGCTCTATTTGCTGATTCTGACTCATTTCTGCTGGTTATATAGGGACTTCATCGACCTGCACGACACTTCCAAATCCGTGGGTAGTCGCCACGAGGCTGTACTTGGAAATGATGCTGAACTCTTCACCTTCGTGAACCCCAGCAGGGTACGCAACACAGCATTGAACCCCCAGACTATGGAATGAGTGTTAGATATGGTGCGCCTATTATTGCAGGCTGAATTCGAGCTAGCGGGCTTCAAGAAGGTGCTGGGACTGGAAGGCGAGGTCTTCTCCAAGAAGGCGACATTCTTCGACGACTACATTTGGCGAGATGTTCGTTGTAATAGCTGCAAGAGACACATCGGGTGGGCGTTCTACCACGACGAGTTACAACAGTGTATCAACACACAATTGGTGGAGTCCATCACAGCCAAAAGAGCCAAGGAAAAACTGCTGGCCTCCACTGCGGAGATGGAACGGAAGGCTGAGATCGTGAGGAAAGAGCTGGAAGGCCGCTGTCTTTTCGCTGCTGCTGGCTGGTGGACCTACGAGGTCTGCTACGAGAAAGAAGTCCGCCAATTCCACCAAGAACCCGACCGATCTCGTCCGAGCGACTGGAGCATGGGCGTCTACGTACCTGATACCCAGGACACAGACACTGGGTATGCCAGCACGGATGTAGTACAGTACTATGCCGGCGGCCAACACTGCGATGAGAATGGCGAACTACGCAGCACTAAAGTGGTGTACACGTGCTGCAAATCCCGACCTAAAGAGCTGTCGGTGGAGAAGGTTGATGAGCCTGCACTGTGCACATACCTGATCACTGTGTGCGTTCCGAGCTTGTGCGAAACAGAACAGGACGAAGAGCAGGACTTTGTCGAAAATCAGCAGATTGTGGAGTCGTGCAAGGAAGAATTTGATTCTGCACACACAGATGCGCCGTTACCGTCGACGTTTGCCACCTTGCGCTGGTCTTCCGTGATATCGGAAGATAGCAGCGAGCTCGACTGGGCTCGACGGATGCAGTTTGCGAACTGAAGATGATTTTGTCGGTTGTTGTTGACCATCAATGACATTTTACTTATGCTTGTTAGATCATAACTGTGACTACAGCCCAGTGTACTTGTTTGATGAGTGTCATTTGTGGGGGCTGCGTAGGGCTAAGGAAGTTCTCTTTGACACTGACTCGTGAGTTTTATATTAGGAAGCGTGGGTCTACAAGTGTACTTCTCGCAATGTTGCGTCTGCCGAGATGTGCGCGGGTGGAGAGCAACACAATTTGGAGCGCATACGTCGCCATTGCAGAAATCGCATGGTTACCAACCCACAGATCAAGCAAGCAAAAGCACTGATGAATACACATGACACAGCGTCAGTTCCAGATTTAAACAAGAAAAGGGACCAAGTGGCGATCGTACTAGCAGATCCAGCAACATCAGATCATTCTCAATCCCAAGAAGAAGCGAAGCTTTTGCAAATCTGGAATCAGTGTCTGTCCGAATCCCAAGTTAAACGGTTAGCGCTGGGATGTTGGATTGATGATGGAAAGTTCATACCTGACAAAAAGAGGGACTGCTTGCTGAACGACATATCTGGTGGAATATCGAGAAAGCGTGTGATGCAAGTGTGGGCACGGTAAATCCTCCAACGATACCTGTCGTTCTGGTTCTCTATAAACGACTTCAAGAAATCCCGGAGCTGCTCGGCATTGTGTACCATGGCTTCTGTTGTCACCATACCGTTCTGGCGTTTTAAGTCAGTTCTTTTCAATGGAAGTGTGGACGGCCCTTTTGGAGAGAATGACCGCTGGATTAGCCCTTCGCCGCTACCGCCACGTCCATCCACGGGACTATCGCCTCGTACTGACGCGTACAAATGGTGAAACTTGCGTCTCCATTTGCGAGTGACAAATATTTCAAACGTTTGGCAATCAGGGAACGTGGAGTCCAGATAACGGCCTGCAGTAAGCCCTGCGTCTTCCTGTTTCAATTGATCCACCAGTTCTCTCATGCTCCCGTCGGCGAATGGATGTGGTGATCGACAATGCAGATAAAAACCGTGATATGTTTCGTCGAGAAACAGACAACTCACCTTCGATACTGTGCAGAGATCGATAAAGAGCTGTTCACGTGGCTCATCAATGTATCGCTCAAAGATCATCCATTTCCAGAGTCTCTGACCCACGTACACAAAAAGCCACCAGATCGAGACGTTGGCAAAGCGTAAATACGGATTCAATTGGAGATCTGCTGCGTCTGTGGAGACAGTAGTCGTTGTGAGGGTAATGTACTGCATTTGTGCTCGTGGAACTGGAAGCGAGAGCATTCTCAAGTTGCACCCGTACAGAAGAAATAGAACGAACACGAGTGTGAAGCGCAACGAAGTCTTTCGAACGGTTTGCAGCTTGTTCCACTCATTGACGACCAAGATCATACGCCACACGCTGATTGATGCCTGGGTTGGCGTGGTGGAATCGATGTCCATGACGGTAGCGCGAGGTTTCTCCCAATCAACGAAGAACAGTTGTAATTGAGCTTGACGATAAACGTGACGGAAGACGGAGACCAGTTGGCAGAAGAAGGACAGAGGAAGCAGCACTCGAAACAGGTAATATTCATCGACACCGCTTGCAAGAGGATCGAAACTCACCTCTGGAAGCATGAGTATGGTGCTTGATTGTAGTCTGAAGACCATGAAAAAGTAGCTGCACATTAGGAACATGACTGCGAACGAGACTGGAGCGAAACTGGATGCACTGTAGCTGATCAAAGTCGATAGAATCTGGCACATGGCATTCTCCACGACTTCGTTCCGGATACTGCGTCGGTACCAGTTGAACGTCTGAAGTAGAACTCGACATCCTGCAAGGACGCACCCCGTGGTGTACAGAGCCTTTGCAAACGACCAAAACTCGTCTGTGTCGGAGGTGTACGCGACACGGAGAGATACTGCAACGGATCTTGGATTCTGTGTGTCCATATATGCTATCGTCAGTTCTGGGACATATATGAAGTGTGAGTCAGAGACTTGCGTTCTGACAGTGAGCGTGATGGTTTCAGCGTATCGAATCACCTTTGGTGAGGTCTCACCAACAGGAATTCCCGTCTGGAAGTCGTAGAAGAAGAAACGGTGACCTAGAAGATCGTTTGCGGTGTCGCTGTCCTGATTGACGAATACTCCACTGTCGTCACGATAGTTTAAATTCTTCACTGGAATGGGAATGAACCTCCCGTCTTCTCCATTTCTCTTCGTCTGATCGACCAAGAAAAGCTCATGGAGTATTAGAGTGGAAGTCTGCAAAGCCTCAAGGTTGCACGAATACTCTGATACTTCGCTCACACCGAACCGCATCCACGAAGGCGACTCAGTCACACTGATGCTGCCCGGTTGGCAATACGCAAGTTCATTAGTTAATGGTCGAAAGCCAATGAGAGTGCCATTAACGTGATAGCTGGCCAGAACAAACTCAAGATGATCGATACCTTCATTCGATGCAGCGTCAGACGTCATCTATTCGCCAACAACAGGCTCATCATCAGTCATAACCAACTTGTCATGCAAGGAAAAAACAATATACCTTCATGTTTACGGGAGTCTGACCAATGTTGGATGCTATCGATCGATAGCTCAAGAATGGCAGCGTCGTAAACCACCCATTAATGTTGTTGACTATTGACGATCGGCCACTGCGCTGAATCAGATCAAAAACAGCACAGGAAGGTGTTTGGGGATCAAAATGCTGCAAGACACAGAGGTTTCCCAGTGCTTGGCACGAGACGATATCTTTTTCGCTTTGGTAAAAGTAACATGCGGTGGTGGAAGGCAGGAATATGTCGTCAAGCAACGCACTAGCAACGGGGACAACGGAACCCGAGCTGCCTGTTTCTTCCTTGAGGAAGGACGAATATGTCATTTCCTTAGCGTTGCTGAGCATGACTTTGGAGCTGATCAAGTTGATATGCGTTTTACGAACGCATTTCTGGACACTCATGAACGAACTCGATACCATTTCGTAGTCATTTGGACACGTACAGATGGAATCGTTATCAGCAACGACCATCACTGAATCCGGGCATGCTTTGCAGGTGTTGGTTGAACTGTCAGCGACTGTGTTGTCGGTACAAACCACACATTCTTTTGCGTCAAGATAGCTGCCATTCTACATCAAGCACTTGATCAACCCCGCGAATCATTACGATGATATCATTTCGAACCGCACCTCGCTACTTTCTTGGATGATGGAGTTGGTATCACACTTGCATTCACGGATGGATTCCTGGATACCGAGCGTGGAATTACCGCAGCGCATACACCTTGAAGAGTCCCGGGACGGAACTTGGTCTGATGGACATGCAGTACATATCTCAAGATTACAAGGAACTGGCCAGATCATTTCGCACGTGGACTCCTTTCGTGACTTCTGGATGGCTTCCTGGCTACGTAAATTGGATCAGTAGTGCTGTGACGAAGATATCCGTACGATAGCATGTCACTTACTTGCAAGTACAGGCCGTAGCCAACCCAGGTATTCGCGAATTACTGTCTGGAATCTATAGAAGACGGGATATTAGTTTTCACAAGCACTAGACGCACGAGGAATAGCCAAGGATGTCCTTACCAGCCAAGCATTTGAAAGGGTGGATGCTCCGTTCGCGATGACGCATTGACTACACCCGAGAGCCGATTCGTCATAAAACTCTGTGGTCGCATTGCAAGTCGTGTTTGATGCAATTGTGGACGAGTTCCCACCAAAGAGTGCGAAGAGTTGTGCAGGAAATCTCACTTGCGCTTCAACTTGTACGTAGTCGAAGACAAGCCACAGGAATCCTAGCGAATACCTCATGACATAGGGATGCAGAGCATAGGACAGCTTTCCAACAAAGTGACTCTTCACATGGAGTTACTACAGTACTTGACATCGTCACCACATTCAAGTCACATATTTTGTTCTCGAACAACGGTAATAATTACTTGAAGCTTATCAATTCAGGCATCTCACTGGTTCTTCCGTCCCGTGAAACGAACCATGACTTTGTGTGGGTCAAGAACAGCCCTTTCTGGTGGTTTCGGCTGTCAAAAATACTCAGCATGGCATTCACCGCTAAGTGTGGAGTGAGAGTTAATTCTGTGCCCTTCTTGCCAGTAGTTTTCTTCTTGCTCAACTTGGGTCGAGAATGGGGAACTTGAATTCTAGCGAAGGTGTCCAGTTGCGCTTCTTAGACGGATGCCCTGAGGTTTGTATGCTTGGAAGAATAAGATGCCGCCAAACTTGGAGAATAACTTATGCTTGCATATTCAGATCCCGCAAGCCCCTGCAGAAGATCAAGTTCAGCTCCAATTCGACGAGCTCCTGCTCTCTGCTTGCGCTGATGCTGAGATCCGCGACGAGTTGAATGCAGCAGAATCAATTCAGAGCAAGTGGGTGTATGCTTTTCTGTAAGTACTAACGTTACTCCAATAAGAGGACTTACATTGACACACTAACATTCTCGTACCCGTATTACAGGAGCAAACTTCCACAAGGCAGCGTCGCGGAGGAATGGTTGGATCCACGTGAGTGTGTGGAGCTTGTACGACGTTCCCGCAGCGATATGAAATGTGTACACGACCTCTACCTGGCTATTCGGGTAAACATTATGATCAGATCTGGGTACGATACTGTCGCTGCCGTCTTTTGCTGCGTGGCTAACATGATTGCTGCAATTACAGTGCGTGGCTCGAGAAATTTGTCTCGGAGAACGGAATCGAAGAACTGGCGGCCCCTTTACAAGTTCCCGGAGGTGCTTCAGTGGACATGTGCAACGAAATAATCAGCACCCTATTCGTACTCGCCAACAACAACAATTGTATCTCGGCTCTCCTGAAGATTTCTGAATGCTGCCCGATGCTGTATTTGCTCTTTAATTCCTCCTCTTGGAGCGAAATTAAGGTGCGCTCTCTAAACCTTTTGGGAATACTTTGTCGCCAAAGCGCGATGGCTCAAGACGCGATAATGAACGCGTTCTCGTCTAAAAGTCTGGAGAATCAGTCGCTCCAACCGTTGGTCTCCAAACTTGAACAGAATCAGTCGGACATTGCTCTCCAGCTTGCTGCGGTAAAGTTTGTGAACGCCTTGTTAGACACTCGCGATAAGAAGAAACGAGCATCAATTTGCGAAGATCTCAAGACAAATGGGTATCTCAGTCTGCTTGAACCGTACAAAACTCATGATGATGACGCTAAGACACAATCTCCACTCATGGCGTCAATGATTGCCCAAGTCGAAATGTTTTACGATAATTACGGTGAATCTGCACAGGATGGCAAACTGGGAGCCTTACGACTTGCACTCGGCGATGCGTTGAATGCCAACCTAAATGGTCTGGAACAATCAAGTCAGATTAGTCGGAAGGATAGCTTTACGACAGGTAACCAAGGCGAAAACGACGAGGCTGGAGAAGCCACAAATCCTGAACAACAAATAGACGAGAGAAGTGTGAGTGTGTCGGCGTCACAGTGCACAACCAGTACCACAGAAAACTCACTGAAACAAGCTAATGAGACTTCCAAAGGTCCTGCTGTGATCAAGGAAACCCTTGCGCCTTCGAGTGATGCTAAACTAAAGCAAACTGGGACGAATTCTAGCATTGCGGCCTCACCTTCAGAGTATTCCACGCTCGATAACATTCTCAGTCAACTTCAGCAGAATACGAAGAACCTGGACCATCAGACTAATGAAAAGCTAATCAATCTCCTGCAAAAGCTAGCGTTGACGCTATCGGACGAAACTGGTGCTAGCAGAGCTGTTGATCTCCTGGATAAGAGCTTGTCTACAACTCAAAGCCCAGAAGGAACGACAGAACCGACAGCTGAAGCGAAACCACCAGCTGAGGCAAAAGCTAACCAGGAACCAGATTTACTAACGCGCGTGGGTTTAGCGTTGTTTCCGAGCATGGGTGAACCATCATTATCCGTGATGAAGCCATCCTTATCCGTTACCAAGCCACCTCTATCTGGACGCCCTCCCTTATTCTCTGGTTTCGGGGATTTCTCGCTGCCATCATTGTCTGCTTCAACTCCCACGAAAAGCTCCGTCTCCAAACCATCACTTACCAGTTTTATTGGAGCTGACAATGCTGCAAGACCCACCGATTCACCTGCAGCCAGAGGGACCAAAATATCCTTGCCATTTTTCCAGAGTTCGAGGAAAGGACCTGGACTCGGTGTGACACCAGCTTGTACGCCAATTGCCACTGCTAGCGTTCGCAAAGATGCAAAGCGGCCTGTATTCCCTTCATTCCCGTCCCCTACTCGCAAGGAAACATCCAAAATTCCACCTTCGAAACCTCAAAGCTCAGAGACTGCACCAGTTAAAGCAACGGTTGCTCCTCCCGTCCCAGCCTTACCTCCGATTGATATCGCCCCAGTGATTCAACCTTTGGAGGTGGTAAAGCCACTGGTGATCGAATCGGAATCTACTGATAATTCCAATGCAATTAAGGCTCCAGTCTCCGAAACGGACATTTCTAAGTTTCGTAAACTCTTGTCGATGGGGGCACCTCGTGAAGCTGTACGTGCAAAAATGCAACAAGCTGGAGTAAACCCAGATCTACTCGACGAGCAACAGGGCTTTACTCCAAAGGCATCACCAAAGCCGCTGGAGAAAGCGACACCTCAAGTCTCTAAGGATTTTCATGGACCTGACGTGTCCAAGTCGCTTGAAGCGGTCAAGGCGAAAATAAGCCAGGCAGCTAATTTACTGGACCAGAAGGAGACTTCAGTCGAAGCCAGAAAGCCCACACCCACACCTCCACAACAAGAAACAGCATCTGGTGCAGACGTTGCCAAATTCAAGAAGTTACTCTCGATGGGGGCACCTCTAGCTGCTGTGAAAGCCAAGATGACTCAAGCTGGATTGGACCCAGCATTACTTGACAGTCCAAGTTCTAAGCCAACTTCAGCTGTTCCAACTTCTACTCCAGCGAAAACGAAAGTAAAAGATGATCCCAGCTATGCCAAGTTCTTCAAACTGCTGTCCATGGGGGCCCCTGCTGCTGCAGTGAAAGCAAAAATGGTCCAAGCTGGTCTGAATAGTGATCTTTTGGATACTCCAGACGCCGAGATGCCGACGAATGGAACATCTTCTGCCTCCACATCGCCCCCCGAAGCTCAATCCAATCCTCGTGCTTTGCTTTCGAATATGATATCAAGTCGTGCAGCGCCTCCAACTGAACCTCAAACTAAGGTGAAAGACGACCCCCAGTACGCAAAGTTCTTCAAACTATTGTCGATGGGTGCTCCTGCTGAGTCTGTCAAGGCTAAGATGCAGATGGCAGGGCTCCAACCAGAGCTTTTGGATACTCCTGACGCCCCGTTAAGGCCTATATCAAGCGAGCCCACCGGTCCAGCATCGCAGTCTCAAGTCAAAGTAAAAGACGATCCATCTTATGCTAAATTCTTCAAGTTACTTTCAATGGGAGCTCCAGCCGAGTCAGTGAAAGCAAAAATGAAAATGGCAGGCCTTAACCCCCATTTATTGGACACTCCCGATGCCACGATGCCCAATGCTAATGCCCCTGCTGAAGCTGCTAAAGCTACAGTGAAAGTGAAAGACGATCCAGAGTATGCCAAGTTTTTCAAGCTTCTTTCTATGGGTGCACCTGCTGAATCTGTGAAAGCTAAAATGCAAATGGCTGGACTAAAACCAGAACTTCTTGATACCCCCGACGCCGATTTACCCAGTGGCAATAACCAAGCTGCTGCTCCATCTCAACAAGTAAAGGTTAAAGATGATCCTGCGTATGCAAAGTTCTTCAAGTTGTTGGAAATGGGGGCACCAGCTGAGAGTGTCAAGGCTAAAATGAGAATGGAAGGACTACAAGGAGATCTCCTTGATACACCCGACGCGTTCTTACCCAGTGCAGCACCCGCTACTCCGAAACATCCTTCAGCTCCAACCTCAACAGCAGCACGTAGAGCTCATCTATCTATCGCGATCAAGCCTGCCAGCAAGGCGAAAACCAGGTCTTTCTATTGGCAGCAACTGAAGGCTGAAGCGATCAAAGGAACGATTTGGGAAGAGCTCGATAAGGAGCACAGTAATCAGAGCAACCAAGACCTCTTTACGCTTACAGACAGCGAATTGGAGTTACTGGAGTCCGAGTTCCCACCACCAGCTGCTAGTGGGCCAGGAACTGGCACTCGACGTGGAGTTATGAGTGGCCTCTTATCGCCAGGAGGTCCTGCTTCTCCTGTAACCTCACCTAGAATTGTGTTCTTGATCGACCGTGCGCGGTCCAACAACATTTCGATCATTGTCAAGCAGTTCAGGATGAGCAACGCAGCTCTACGAGTGGCAATCATGAAGATGGACTCAGAAGTGCTAACTCTCGATCGAGTCCAGGGGTTGATCAAAATTCTGCCTACAGAGGAGGAAATCGCTGCAATCACGGGGTTTAGTGGAGACCCGACGACGCTCAACGGGGCCGAATTGGTCTTGAAAGAACTCATCACTGTACCAAGACTAAAACAGAGGCTTTCAGCATTGGAAACTAAGCATCAATTCCCTGCCTTAGTGCGAGATCTCCAGACCAAAATCAACAAGATTCGAGTGGCTAGTAACGAGATAGCACAGAGTGCCGACCTCAAGACTATTCTACTGGTAATTCTTCAAGTCGGGAACAAAATGAACCAGGGCACTGCTCGAGGAGAAGCCAAGGGCTTCCGGTTGAATGATCTGACGAAGCTGGTGCAGCTCAAATCTGTTGACAAGTCCGTCACTCTGCTGCATTATGTGGCACGGATGATTCGAATGAAGAAAAGCAATGTGGTTCGATTGGGAGACTCGTTAGCGTCGCTATATGATGTCCAGAGTATCTCGATCCCGGAGCTCCAAGGTGACATGAACAGGATCAGCGATATCACTGAAAGTATCAACGTTGAACTAGCAGCTCAACGTCTGAAGAACAGGATTGAGGAGAAGGAAGAGAATGATTTATTCGTCGAGTCCATGACTGTATTTGTGGATGAGGCCTCTAAGGACGTCACTACTTTAAAGAAGGATCTGGACGACACGTTGCGGTTGATGCGAGATATTATGCTGCGGTTTGAAAAGAGCACGGATGAAGAGGAAGCTGCTGCTCCTGCACCTGACACTCCACTCACACCGGCAGTTTTATCGGGAGCGGGAGAATTCTTTAGTATCATTTATGAATTTACTATGGCACTCACGAAAGCAGACCGCGAGAACGAACTGAAGCGGATTCGCGACGAAAAACGACTGAAGCAGCAGGAACTCAGGGCCGCAACACCTCGGAGGAATGCTGGCGATCGTGCTGCGCTGACCAGATTTAAAGGGAAGACAGAAGCTACAGGAACGTCCAATAACCCGGTGACTACGGCTGATGATAGCGTGAAGTCTGGAGCGGAACCTGAAACTTTAACACCAAACAACGCCACCAAGACACCAGAAACTGATGCAGAGAAAACGAAATCTTCAACATCGGCAAGCGAGGACCAGGTGGTTGCCGAAGTAGGTGTGGAGGAGAAGGCGGTGCCTGAGCTTACAGGAATTCCAAATACCGCACTCAAGATTCCTGGAATTGTCAAGGTCTCAGCTCTACCGAGTGTCCCTGCTTCGCCACTGAAGAAGGTCGTTGGAGGAATGCCTACTGGTATTCCTAGTCCAATGAAGCTGAAGTGGACTAATTCTTTAGCTTCGCCCACTGGAAAGAGCGCAAATCGTGTGGTTCCTTTCGATGCCGCCTCACTCAACGAAATCAAGTCCAAGTTGAAAACTAAACACGCGACCAACAATGAGCCCCAGATGCGTGGGTCGAAACCTGAAGTTGAAGGCGATGGTGACAATCAAGACAACAATAACAATGAACCTGCCACACCAGAGAAGACTCTATCGGAAGTGGAGCCTTCTGCTCGCGTAGCCGTAGAATCCGATGCATAATTTTTACGGAAAAATAAATATACTAAACTGAAACTTGAGATTTGGTACGGTCGTGAAAAGACACCTTCACATTGAAAGTTATTAGGGCAAATGCCTACTTCAGTGACGTTTGCTTTACTGTGGTTGAGCTCTCTCCTCGCTGCAGTTGCTGGGATTTATACGTGCCCGTCGACGGATCATTTGTATGTTGAATTATACCTATAATTTAAGTACTTGGCACTAACACTACCGCTTATAGTTTGTCGATTGTATCTATGAAGAGCTATGTTGAAGGTGTTACAGCGTCAGAAAGCAGTCCAGAGCGCAGACTTACGACAAGTATACTCAGTTCATTCAGAGCGGTGTACAAGAAAGGCTTGAGAGGGTTTCTGGAAGGTGGTGTGTACAGTCAGTCGACTCCACTTGCCTGTGCTGTACAATGCGATACCGATCCACTGTGTCTGTCCTTCGACTTTGAGACTATCACTCAAGACTGCTACATCTCTCACACAGATCGCTATGCGCATCCAGAAGCATTTCTTGACTTCCCAACTGGAATTTACTATGAATGGCAGGGAGTTGTGGACACTCCCGAGATTGAGCCAAACGGTGGTCTATTCAATACTCAAGTGGTAGTTCGCCTTATTACAGCCAAGCTGGGGGCAGCAATTCACTACCGTATCATACCTTCAACTCAGCTCCAGACTACGAATCTCACTACAACTGACTTGTTTGGTTCTGATCAAAACTTCAGTATCGCTGCAAGTGGAGACGTTATCACACTTCCAACTTACTCTTGTAAAGTTTTCGTGATTGCCGCTAAGGAAGGGATGGACGACAGTGTCGCGGTGGTCTCCAATGAGTTTAAAATATTTCGTAAGCTGCTTAATTTTTCTGCTGGAAGCCTGAAATTGTTCTGACTTAAATGTGCATCGTTGTAGCATCCAAATACGTTTACCTAGTGCCATACTTCAACAGCAATTTTCATGGTTGTGTGACTCGAATCGAGCTTGATCTCAAGGGCAAGAAACGACCTCGTCCAGCGCGATTCCTCGAGTTTAGCGACTACGAAACACCAAACGGTATTGGTCCGTACGACAACCAAGTTGCTGTAATCGACTTAGTGACTCTGGACTCGACTTTTAAAGGATTTTATGGTGGATTTACTGCTTTTTCAAAGGTGCCATTTGTGAATGAAACCTATCTAGTCCCAGCTGCGGATGATCCAAACTACAATGCGACCGCGTGGCGAATTGTGTTGAAAGCTCAATACGCAGCTTCAGCGACACACTCAGGTTTCGGAAAACCCGCCGAGGTAGAACAAGACGTCGAATATTTGTATTTGGTGCCATATTATAACGGCACAGCGTACGCGTCTAAGATACTTCGAGTCATGGCTCTCACATTCTCGACAACGCCGATAGTGGAGATACTTGATTTGAGCACCGTTGATCAAACTCTCAAAGGATTTGGATCAGCTTTTACCTACGATTCCTATGGCTATTTAGTTCCTCGTGAGAATGAAAACGGGCTGTTCGGGAAGTTAGTACGTTTTCGGATCGATAGTTTTACAACATCAAGCGTCGAGGTGCTAGACTTGGCAGCTATCAACTCGCGTTATGTGGGTTTCAGCAGCGCGATAACGTGTAAGTTTTCCCGACTATCGTTCGAATTTCTCTAACTGTATGCTATTTAGATGGAAGTCACGCATACTTGGTTCCTTTTCGGAGGCCATTAACAGGGGACGAACTTACTATGAACTTGCGCGAATTCCCCATTTCGAACTCAGGATTAGTTGTTCGTGTTAACCTGAACACGTTCCGCGTTACTGGGACCCTCGACCTTGCACGCTTTCACCAAGATCTATGCGGATTCAGCGGAGCCGTCACAGGTACACATAGGCTCAAAGCTTTTGGGAAATTTTACAACTGATTATCCTCCTTTTTTTTTTTATGAATTGTAGTGACACATTTTGCTTACTTCGTGCCATACATGCGGGTAAAGCAGCCTGACTCGGAGGAGGTGAATCCGTATTCCGGTTTGGTGGCCCGTGTGGATCTTCGCGACTTCACATCGGTGCGGTATCTTGATTTAACTCTTGTTGATAGCGGTTTGCGTGGATTCAGGAGGGGCTTTGCGTATCGCCAATACGTCTTTTTGGTGCCTCATCGCTCGAAATTCTTCGACCTGATGGGCCCCACGCAGTCTGGCAAAGTCGCACGAATTGACACCAATAATTTCACGCCGAGTGGGGTATCCTTTCTAGATTTGACGACTGCACTGCGAAGTCAGGTCCCCGATTTCGCCGACAGTGATCTTCGAGGATTCAATGGGGGTGTTGTGTCGGGGAAATATGCTTTCTTCGTACCATATTTCAATGGAGCTACATTTTCAGGCAAGGTGTGCAGAATCAATCTGGATAAGTTTGATGAAGTGCAAACATTAGATTTAACTCAACTCGACAGCAACCTCCGTGGATACAGCGATGGAATTCTTTCAAAGGTACAAGAATCTCTCGAGGCAAACCTGTTTGATGAGTTCCAGATCCGAGTGGGAACAACAGATCCGTATGACTACACCTACTAATCAAAGGTTAATATTTTCTAGTAGCCGAACACACGAACGTTAAGCATTTCTTCCTCTTTGCTCGCGCTACCCCCATCCTTGCTTGCAATGTGAAGCACATATCTTCCTCCACCTTGTTTTAGGTCACTGTTCCAAACACCGTGATAGCTGTTGCCATTGTTGTAAGTCATAACACCTGCCCCGTGACGTCTACCTTTGTGAAATGTACCTTCAAACACTTTTCCTGAAGCATACAGTATTTTACCATGCCCCTCACGAACATTCATGAGCCATTCACCTTCATAGGTGTCACCAGACGAAGAACAAAAGAAGCTCCCAAATCCATGCTGCATTTCGTCGACAAACTGACCGCTGTACACATCGCCACAGGGCCACGTGAAAGTTCCCATTCCGTCACGCTTGCCATAGTTCCAGTCGCCGTCATAGATGGTACCGTTTGCATAATGATATTTGCCTTTACCATGACGACGCTCGTCATCCAACAGCCCTTCGTACTTCTCTTGTTGGATAGTGGTAGGATTCCACGTAAATATTCCATACCCATGGCGTCGGTCAGCGCGCCATTCACCGTCATAAATATCTCCATTCCGGTAAATAAATTTTCCTTTGCCGTGTTTCTTGTTATCGAACCATTGTCCTTCATAAGTATGTCCAGTAGCGTACACGATTTTGCCGAAACCTCGGATGAATCCGTGCTCAAAATGACCGCTGTATACACTTCCATCTCGCCATCGATAGACACCTTCACCGTGCTTTTCAGCGTTCATGAAGTCGCCTTTATATACATTTCCATTCGAGTACGTCATCGTACCCCGACCTTCAACATGATCGTTGTTAAAATTTCCAGTGTAGCTGCTTCCCCCCACGAATGTATATGTACCGTGACCATGACGTTTGCTGGCAACCCAGTCGCCAATGTACATATTTCCACTATCGAAAAATCGATAGGTCCCTTTCGTCCTGCCTGATCCTTCTGCCACACCGTGAACAAAATGTCCATCAAAAACGTCGCCATTATCGAAGAACAATTTCCCTTTTCCGTGTTGTTTTCCTTTCGAGAACTCACCAACATATTTAATACCCTCGCTGGAAACGTAGATACCATTTCCACTCCATCTTCCGCGCCACCAACTACCAGAGTAGACTGCTCCATTCGGATAAAAGCAAACACCGCTACCATGACGGAAATCCTTTTCCCAGTGACCTTTGTAGACTTCACCGTCTGCTGTGCTAAGTGTTCCCACTCCGCAAGCGAGGCCATCGACAGTGCTACCGATGTATCGATCTCCAGTGACCTTCTTGAACTTGCCAAACCCATTCGGACGATTGTCTTGAAATTGACCTTTATATCGATCTCCGTTCGCAGCGCAGAACACACCTGTACCATGAAATTTACCACTTTCAAAGTGACCGACAAAGCGTTCCCCACTAGGTAAAGTCAGAATCCCCACTCCATGTTTTGTTCCGTCTACCCAGTCGCCTGCGTACTCGTAACCATCGACACCTTGATAAATTCCTTTGCCGTGACGCTGATTCTCTTTCCATTGACCAACATAACGTCCACCGTTGGTATAAATCAATTCACCTAAGCCGTCAAAGCTCTTGGTATTTGCGTGAAAGTCCCCAACATAAAGGCTTCCAAACCGAAGCAAAGCTTTCGCGAACATTCGATCTTGTTTAGCTTTCCGATGCCAGGACGAAAGCCACTCAATGCTCATAACCGACGGATCCAGATCCTTAAGATGAGCGAGTGCAGTGGCGTCTGGGTCTTCTGTAGGTGTAGATGTATTTGAGACCAACGGTGTTGCTCCGTTTGGTTTACCAAATCCAAGCGCTCGCTTCTTCTTTGGGGCTTGGCCATGTGAGTTTTCTTGCTGTCCAGCTAATACCACCCAGTACTGCATACGATGTTGATGAGCTTCTTCTCTTTGTCGACGTAATTCTTCTTTAGCCTTTTGTGCTTGTTGCATAACTTGCAATTGAGTCTCACTGGGACCTAGAATTTCTCCCGTCACGGCATTATGACTGCAGATATTCTTGCACATTGGACAGGTCGGGAATGTCGAGGTGCAGACTTTCATCATACACACCGGACAGTACCAGATGTGCATCGTCCTGTAATGTTCATGGATCTCATGAATAGTTTTGGCGATGAAGCTACATTCAGGCCATTTACACACGAGAAATTCTTGGTAAGACTCCGGTGGGAGCCATTGCGAATCATGCGTAAAGATGTGGAAGTAAAAGTACTCGTTCGTGTGAGGATCGAGCAATTCTTGCCAGTTCTTGATCGTCCTCACCACTGTAGATCTCTCAAGCAACAACTTCAGTGCGATAGGACTATGAAGCACTTGCCGTAACTTTCGCTTCTCCTCAGCAGCCCGTCGACGACCGAGAAACCCACGAATGATTCGTTCGATAGCGATAGCAGCATAGTGTCGTCTTCGCTTTCTTGCTGCTCTGCAACGTCCTTTCCAACCACGATATCGACTCTGTAAAGAGGTCGCCACGAAGAATTTCATGTTGCGCTCGATCTCCTCTCTCAAGGCATTGTTACGACACAAAATCACTTGTCGAGCTGCAATAGCTTCCGCTCTCTTTTCAAATACTCGACGATACAGTTGTTGCTTCCGGTACTGCTCAATTGGATCGGACATCGTGCTTGCAACCAAGAAAAGTAAAAAAAAACTTGCTGAAAGAACACAGAATTTGTCTATTTCGAGTGGGTATAACGAACCAAGAAGAGCTCTGCGTCTTGTTTGATTCTACAATTACACCGTCTTCTTGCTCTCCATGTCCTCTGCTGTCTGCTTCTTGGGATAAATGGTCTTTTTAATGAAAAACCACACCAGCCAGAGCAGAACGAATGCGTTCACTGGGATAAGAAGCAGGAAAAGTCCCACCGTAGCCACAAACAAGCCGTCCCAGAAGAGGTGCTGCCAGCGTGGAATCGGACGTGGAGCTTGACACTGGGCCGCATCTTTCTCGGGAGAGTCCGAGTAAAAGGGCTTGGACTCAAATTCATACTGCAGCTTCACCTTATCATCTGCACCGCGGGTTTTCACCATCGCGACAGGGTGGGGCTTACTCTCCCAATCGAAATCAATCGAGCCCCAGTTGAGATGACCGTAAAAAGATTTCTGCGTCGGACGGAACTCCCACGGTAGTAGAAGGTTCGCGTAAGTGAACAGCAGAGCCATAACGTATCTCATCGATGGCACGTGAAACTCCATCCAGCTGTGAGTCATGCCGCTGCTGGTGATCTCAGTGAAAATGTTTGTCCCGTTGGAACACACAACTTGGTTGATTTCAGAAAAGTGTACGTCGCCACTACAATAAATGAGGCTCCGGTTAGAAATACGGTGAGTAATATGAACTTCACTGGACTGACAAACCTGAGCAGAATGACACCCTTGGCGTTTGAGGCCAGAAGCAGCTTAAACAGCCTCTCGCGCTCATTGGGGAAGCGACCCCAGCACTCAGCAACAGGATACCGGTCACCAGGGAGAATCTGAACTCCTGACACGATGACGTTGAAAGCAGCAGTCGACGTCATGAGCTCGTTTTCAAGCCACTTCCATTGGGTTTCTCCGAGGAATTTGCCATTTTTCGTGCCGTAGTTGTCGCGGTTGTATCTATTGATGGCATGCAGCCACGATCGAATCTGTTAGAGCCGTTTAATCCATCAAAACTCCATATCGCAAAATGAAGAAGTACCGGTTGTCGACGAGGATGAATTTGACGGTCTGCTCCCCCGATCCGATCGTGTACGACGTGTAAATACCCTGCCAATTTGACCACAATGCGCAAGTCAGTCATTTCCTCTACAGAAATAAATACATTATGGCCGGTACCTGTTGCTTACGGCGAGGCGTACCCTTCGGTTCGCCGATGAAATCCAAAAAAATCTGCTGGCTCTCCTCGCGATTTGTGTAAAACTTGCCACCATCGTTGATGCCGTAGTCGTGGTCGTCCCAGATTCCGATGATCGGTGTATTGTTGACAAAGCCCGCGTAGTCCTCATTCGCCAGCAGCTTGCTACAACATCAACAATACCAACAGCTGATTAGGTTTCCGCACCACCAGAACTCTCACATTACTAAACCCACTTGTATCGTCGAATAAGCACGTCACGCGAAGCCTCCACGAACATTTTGCGTGGTGGGATGGGGATCGGACGCGGCTCGCCAAGCTCCTTCACGTCTGCGTAGATCTGCACGCAATATATCCGTAAGACTCTCTATTGATGAAACCCTTTTAACTGGTTGGTGTATTGCTCACATTGTCACCCATCCAGACCCAGAGTTCGGGCTTATGCGCGGCGATATTCGTCCACAGCGGCTGTGGGAAGCTCTGGTCATTGCACGAACCGAAAGCGACCCGCTGCAGTGGACTCTTAAGGTCTTGAACGCTAGGCGAGTTCAGCACGGTGAGCTCCTCGCCCATGCACAGAGAGGAAGCAGCGGCTGCTGTAATGGCGGATACTATGGTCTTCCCCAGCATTGTCTCTATGTGGCCGAAGGACGAACGGAGAATGACGCCACGAAGCGAGGAATCGGACTCGGATCAAGCACATACGTACGAATTCTCCTTGCTATTCCGATATGGCTACATTTGAGACACATTTTGTTACATGGATACACGATGTTGTCCTATTGAAGTACTCAAATTGACGCTCCAGTACGCAATTGCTCCATGCGCACTTTTCATTGCTACTACAGTAGTACTTAAAAAAAAATTGCCAGACGTTAATACGTCCAGCATCTCAAACTACACGACATTTACTTGACTATCCCTCCTCAGCTTCACGCCAGTTTCTCCAGAACCTTTCCAAGCAGCGCTTGAGCCTCGTTGTCCTTGGCACTCAATTTCTCCTTCTCCACTGTCTCCAAGCGACATTCGAGACGAAACTCGTCGTGGCGCTGGTCCAAGTAGCAGATTGAAAAGCGAAGACCATTTGCCTCCACGTGGATTTTCGACTTCGCTTGAAAAGACTTGATGTGCATTCCGACGGGGGCAGTTTGGCGCAACATTACCTTTGTATGGAATATGTCGCCACCGTCGGGGGTGGAGATGTCAAGGTGGTTCTGAATGTCAGCTGACGCGTTCTCAGAGACCTCATCGCGGCCGACAGCGCGCAGACGGAAAGAGGTGTCGTTGTCGAGGATCACATCGTACGTGCCACGTACGTGGCGTCTACTGTAGGCATTGTGTAGCTTCCAGTGACCACCTACGAGATGGTACTTCAGGTCATGCGATTTCCCTTTATAGCCAGCAAGATGCACCGACAGCGTCTTCTGAGGCTCCACGTCCTTCTCCATCCACGACTCGAGATCGTCCATCAGAGCAACAATCGATGGCGACGACCGCGTGCAGAAATTGGACCAGCGCGTCGTGAACTCATCGAGGTTGCGGAGCTTCTGGAGCTCTGGCCAAGCGATGGTTGAGCTCTTGCAGCGAATGGATCTGAGCTTGAAACACAGCTGCCCAAACGCGACCTTAATCCTGAGAGGCAACTCGGAAGGCTTCTCCAGAAGGTAGTCCATGACGTTGGCCATATCATCTTCCCGAAACTCCTTGATCCAAGAGAGAGTCTCACAGGGAGTCTCCACTGCTCGTCCGGATTGCTGTAGGCGATACGGATACTCTAGGACTTGTTCGTCACTAGATGGCTCCGTGTCCTTTTGGAATGACCACCAACGGGTTGGTCCGTCTCGAGCAACTACTTCGAAGACCCGTTCCTCCTGCTTATTGATCGCGAAAGAGGCGAACAAATCCGTAAGTTCATCTTCTGCACTCTTCACGCCAGTTCTCGGTCCTTTTAGTGTCACCTTTCGGTCAGTTCCGTCCACCGAGCAGCGAACGCCGTGGTTCTCACGAATCGCTTTGCAGTAGCTGCCACCCTTGCCGATGACTGCACCTACTGGGACGTGAGCCGGAATGGCTAGATCTTTCGTTTGACTAAGAGCTGTGGTGTGGAAGTTCATCTTGTCAATGAGAAGCGATACCCTGGCGAGATGTGCCAAGACCGAGCGGAATTGCGAAGTGAGCTAGTCCGACGAGAGGTTCCATGGAGATACTAAGCAAAAGTTTGAGGCCGCCACGCAGAAATTACCATCGCAACTGAAAAACACGCGTCGCAGTGGATGCTTTGCTCTTGAACGCCGGTGACAGAACGGTCAGTACCTCGACCATGCACAGCAATGAAGATGTAGCTGTACTGCAATGGCGGATACGATGGTGTCCCAGCATGTCTCTAGGTGGTTGGAGGAGAAACTAAGAATGATGCTTCAGAAGCAAGAAACTCAATTTGAATGGTCAGAGTCCGAATTCTCGCTTCGTCCGAAATGAATAGACACATTGGGATTCTTTTTGTCGGTGAAGTACGTGGCTGAAGGCGGGCGCAAAATGCTCTGCACATAGCAATTTATTGTACCTATAAATCACGAGACGGCCATAGCGTCCAGCATTGCTATTCAGCTTGACACGTCAAACTACTTTTAAAAAAAAAAACTCGACTACTTACCCTCAACTATAGCAAAGCTAGCCATCACGCCAGCATCTCCAGCACTTTACCGAGCAGCACTTGAGCTTCGTTCTTTTCGGTGTTTAGCTTCTCCTTCTCCACTGTCGCCAAACGATACTTGAGACGGAACTCGTCCTGGTGCTGGTCCAAGTAGCAGATTGTAAAGCAAAGGCCGGAAGCCTCCACGTGGACAATGGACTTTGCTTCAAAAGACCTGATGCGCACTCCAGTCGGGGCCGTTTGGCTCAGCATCACCTCTGTACGGAAAAAGGTACCACCGTCGGGTATTGAGATGTCAAGGTGGCGCTGAATATCAGCTCACGTCCTCGGAGATCTTATTGCGAGCAATAGCACGCATTCGGAAAGAAGTGTCGTTGTCAAGGATCACGCTGCGCTTGCCGCGTACACGGCATTTACCGCACACTTTGTGTAGCTCCCATTGACCAGCCACGAGGCGATACTTTTGATTATACAATCCTTCATTGCCTGCAAGCTGCACCGATAGTGTCGTTCGTGGCTCCACGCCCTGCTCCACCCCCTGCTCAAGATCATCCATCATCGCAACGATAGATGGCGACGGTTGTGCACAGTAATTGGACTAGCACGCCGTGAACTCAACAAACTTGTGGAGTTTCTGTAGCTCCGGCCAGGCCATGGTTGAGTTCTCGCAGCGACCGGAATTGAGCTTGAAACAAAGTGACCAAACGCAATCTCAATCTTGAGCGGCAGCTCGGACCGCTTGTAGTCCTTGGCTTTGGCTATGTCTTCTTCGCGAAACTCCTTGATAAAAAAAAACTCTCAATAGAGGACTCCGACACTTGACCAGCTTGCTGTAGGCGTACGGATACTCCCAGACTTCCTCATTGCTAGTCTTCTCTTTGGTCTGTTAGAATGACCACCAACGGGTTGGTCCGTCTCGCACGAGAACGTCGACGGTTTGTTCCTTGCCCGATTTCTCAATCCCGAAGGAGGTAAATAAGCCCGTAAGCTCGTCTACCGCGCTTTCCACTCCAGTTCTCGGCCCCCGCAGCGCCACCTTTCGGTCGGTTCCGTCCACCGAGCAGCGAACGCCGTAGTTCTCACTTTGCAGTAGCTGCCACTCTTGCCGATGACCGCACCCACTGGGGCGTGAGCCGGGATGGCTAGGTTCTTCGTTTCGCTTAGAGGCGTGAAGCGGAAGCTCATGTTGTCACTGAAGAAGGAAAACCTGGCGAGATGTAGTAAGAACGACCGAGATCTGGAAATGAAATTTGGACGGTGAGAATTTCCAAGACCATTAGATGGTCATTAATTGAGCCTTTCATCGGCAACGCGTTCAAATTGAAAGGTTGTTGTTGCATTCCAACACAATTGGTAGCCACCTTGGCAGACAACGAGCAGTTATCACGAGGAAGCTGTACGATGATGCGCGGGTTGGCGCTGAGCACGAGAGCTGGTGATGAATCCACTTCCATTGCACTGTGATCGTTCTTGGGGGTTCAATCCGGACAAATGTCGTGTGAGTAAAAATCGACAAAGGCAGCATTTTGACCCGTTAACGAATGGCATAGAGAATGATGGTCGATTGCGTAGTGGCATGCAAATGTGGATGTTGCCACAAATTATAATCATGTGATGTCGTAAACCAGGCCAAATTTTAAGATTCACTCCTCCTTACAAACAGCAAGTATAAGTCTAAATGCGGCCACAAAAGCCACAAACAAGACTTGGTGCAAATCGTCTTTCACAACACAATTCTTCTGGTGCAGCGTAAAGCGGCAAGGGACACAAAACCACCATCCAATGGCTCTCCAGGGTAACGTGGCAATCTTGACGCGTCTGCAGGACGCAGCGGCTGCCGTACAGAAGTTCAAGCACGCGAACCCGCAGGTGGCGGACGTGACGGTGCTCACTGTGCCCGAGGGCTCGGATGTAACGCAGACTGTAGCCAACAGCTCCGCCGCAAAGGAAAATGCATTCGACGCCATCGTATCGTTCAGCGAGCAGACAGAGCAGCTGGGCATCGAGCTCGGAGCAGTGCTTCCTCTGCTCAAGGCTGGCGGCGTGCTGCAGCTGCACGTTGCCAATGTGCAGGAAGAGAAGAAGAACGCCATCCTCATGGCGCTGATGATTGGTGGCCTTGTAGACACAACTGACAAGAAGGAGAGCAGTCCCTTCTTCCCCAAGTTCTCAGACGCGGTCTGCTTCTCGTCCAAGAAGCAGTCGTTCGAAAGCACCGCCATCCCACTTGCTATTAAGTCCACGACGACGCAGCCCATTAAGAAGTGGACAGTGCTGGCGGACGACTTCGGTGACGAGCAGGACGACGATATTATCGACGAGGATACGCTGCTCGATGACACAGATGAAGTGCTGCAGGCGGCCAAGGCAGACTGTGGAGAGAAGGTTGGCGGAAAGAAGCGGGCATGCAAGAACTGCACTTGCGGGTAAGGTTTTTCTGCTGTAGTTTTATGAGTTTGAATGTTGTGGTTGACTCACGTTTTCCATTGTGTTTTACGCAGTTTGAAGGATGAGGACGACAAGCCGGTTATGTCCGAGAAGGACCTGAACAAGCTTGTGTCTGGATGCGGAAACGTAATATTCCTCACTGCGTATTTATTATTGTTCATAAGTTCTAGACTAACGCCGGTATTTTTGTTGAATCCATCTTGTAGTGCTTCAAGGGCGATGCCTTCCGATGCGGTAGCTGCCCGTTCCTAGGCAAGCCTGCGTTTAAGCCGGGCATGGAGAAGGTTCTGCTGAACCTGGATAACTCGGACGATATCTAAATTCGCTATTGCCTCAACTTCAGCAGTTGAAGATCATCATCTGCCTGAAATGGCCTGAGCGATCCAGCTGGAGCAGTCGAGATGCATAGTGATCGTGCTGGTACAGTAAAGACGCACCAATAAGCCACTTCATTCACTGGTACTTCATTGTTGTTGCCATTTTTTAGTCTCCTTGACATCTTTTCACTTTTTTGGTTGTATGGCATGGATCCACAGCAAATTTCTATCGCGCTAGCTCGGCCACCTTGCTTTACCGCATATCAATCAATTGGGTCGTGACCTGCTCCATCCACTTACACTCAAACGCGTCCGAGTAGATTTCAACATGGCTCGGGTGGGTGTGGAAACCCGTCAAGTTGCAGTTTTGAATCAGCTGCAATCCGCTTGGCTCTGTCAGCCGAAACACCCCAACACTAATACACAGCAGCACAGGCAGTTAGCGCCCAATTATCTACTGGTACAGCGAAACAGCAATGTACTCACTTTTTGCGTGGGTCACTGGGGGCAACAACGATAGCGACAGCCTGGGCAGTTTAATACAAATTGAGGGAGCATGGGCATTCCATGAGATGAAGAACGAGCAGGGAGAACGGCATGCATGTACCTCTGGTAAAATTGATTGAAATCCACACTGGGTGTGAACATCGACAGATGACAGGAAACAATCTTGCTTTGGATGTGTCTGCATGCAGTCAAGTACCAACGTTAATATCAACGTACAAGAGTTCAGTCTCCTATTATGCACGAGGAGTCTCACATGAATCCAGCCGAGTGTCAGCAGCTCATTGCTGAAGCAAAAATCGTAGAGCTCCTCTTCGTTTGTCATAGTGCACATATCAGACGACCCCTTCACAACCAGCACACGCACAGTCAAATAAGCAATAATGAACCTTTCTCGTTGCCAACATACCTCTTGCTTCGGGATGATAAGAGTTGTGATAATCAGCTTCCGATCGTACTAATCCATCGAGTAGCATCCAGATTAGTTATGGTAGCTTCAGCTTATAGTTGCATGAGAGACTCACCAATATTCCCGCTAATATGCCACAAGTTTCGATCCCGTAAGGTGGTCGGTTCGTGTTTGGCGAAGCCAGTAATGTAAACTGAGCAATGATACCTGAAGGAATCTCAAGCGTACGGATCTTTCCACTGTGCAGCAGCATTAGCTCCAATCGTGCACGAATGTTATATCGCTCAATATCATACACATACCTTGTCAAATTGGCAATTGCTTCTTGTGATCGCTGACGACTGAGAGGCGGCGCAGAATAGTGCGTGTGAGAGGGCTGAGTAGCATCAGCTGTCATCCAAGATGCTTTACCCACTGTAGGGTACGACACTGTGTTGCTCCGTTCCTACAGAAATGCACAGCGTTAGCCAACCCCAACGCAACTGCCTCGACAAGTCCAAGCTCTCTACCTTTTGACGCGGCTTCAAAGCGAGATTGAGTCGGGGTCGAACCTCCGCGGGTTGATTAAGTGTGCGCATGTCTTCCTTATTCGCAGCCCCCGCTGCCTGTTCCTTTGGCTGCTCTGCATTTTTCTTGGCCAATCGCATTGCCTGCAATCGCGCTTCCAACGCAGACATGTTCGCTTGTTCGGTCGCAAGCGCCGTGCTTTGTTGCTGTTTTTCCTGATTTAGCGATCGTTCATACTCCAAATACTCGAGCTCTTCCGCTTCCATGCCATCCAAAATTGCGTCGAAGAGCTTGAATCCTTCTGCAGCTTGCTGCATGCAGAGTTATATACACCCTCATAAGATACCTCCACAATGCTCAAAAATCCAGTCTGCTACTGAGATGCCAACATACCGCCCGCACCCACTCGCGCTCCTTACGGTACCGAGGCAGTTCATAGTCGTGGTGGGCAGTGATCACCTTCGAGCAAAGTCTGTAGAACACAACAAAGGAGCAAAAAAAAATAGAAAAGCTACTTTGTGAGTCTTCCACCAGTTCCGAGAACTTCACATGCATCTTACTTGATAAACTTGGCCAGGAACACGTAGCTGCAATGCAAAGGCAACAGCAAAAGCATACACAATACTAGATAATGAGTATCTCGGTCTTCGCAGCAGCCAGTACAAAAAAAATAGAACCTCTGCACGCTGGCACTTACGCGTTATCCCAAGCTCCTTCGGCGAAGTACGTCTCGGACTGGCGGTAAAGCTGGCGCGCCAACTGATAATAACTCTGCAGGCGCAAATGCTGCTTCACGGGGTCTACGCGGCAGAATGGGGCGAGGTGCGCGCGCCGCGCCACCAACCGCTCGCTGACGTCCATCACGACCGCGCTCTTTTTCGAACTGCTGCGTGAAAGGTGAGTGCTCCTTCAAGCGCACTTAAGCGGGGACATTTGTCGTCCCATAATGAAACCAAGACAACATCATTTGATTTTCCCGAAAGATCAAGCATGGCGGGCGAGACCAAGAGCTTGAGCGGCATGCAGCGTCGTGCGGCTGGGTGAGTCACGGGTGGACGCATATGACAGCAGAAGGATCTTTGTAGCTGACGTTGGAGTTATTGTCTTCAGCAACCGCGCGCACAACCGCATGGTGATCCAGAAGCTGGTCGTTTTTTCGATCCTAATGGTAGTGGTCCCCTTGACCACGTTTTACGGTGTGCGCAGCTTATTCAGGCCAGGTACGCTGCCTGACTAGGGTCTGATTGTATTGGGTGGTGCTGTGATTGATGATGTACTGATTGAAGGAGCACCATACGCGGATGCATGGGGGTAAAAGGCACCTGTAAAGTTTGTATGAGCGATTTCATGATGTATTTACTTTGTTTTGGTATTGTTCGCTAGTGGGTTTACGGCTGTGCTCTCAGTAAATATCGTGATTGGACTCTACATTTTGTCGGCATGGAAGGAGGACGACGGAAAGGAGATGACCCCACCAGTGGGGCGGTTCGCCAAGGCGAAGGAGCAATAGTCGTAGCTAGTTATCGTGTTTTTTTTTTTGTTTGGCAAAGAATACAGCGTCACTCGAAATGCAAAACCACACGAAAGCAAGCTGCGATGTGATGATCATTGCAATAGATTACAACAACGTTTCAGTCGTATTCGCGTGGCATCAAAGCATCTACTGCGTATTTTCATTGCTGAAGCACTAGGCCAGACAATGTTCATTTTGTTTTGATTTGCTATTCGTATATCTAGCTAAGATTACATGAGTCGTAGCTACTTTAGTGCTCGACACCCCAAGCGTAGGTGGCAAACGACATGTGACCCATTCCCCATCCGCTGAACAGCTTCTCCGCCTCTGGTTTGCTCTCCTCCATGCCAGCGCCAGCACCGACGACAAACGGGACGAAGTGGTCGGGCGTCGGGTGCGCGAGTCTTGCAGCAGGGGCGTTAGGCCAGTTGATAATTTGATCGCCACGCTGGCTGTAGCTCATCTTGGACTCCGCTGTGAAGGTGTTGTCGAGCCAGCCCTGGAACGCAGCAGCCCAGTCCTCAAGCGGGTTGTTGGGGTCGCGGCTGGCACGCATGTTGTGTGTGGCTTGACCAGAGCACAAGATCAAAGTATCCTCATCACGGAAGGGCGCAATAGCCTTCCCCAACTCGAAATGTGCCTTGTTGCCCAAACGTGAGTTGATGGACATCGTGACGATCGGGATGTCTGCCTGCGGGCGGATAAGAAGCATCGGCACGAACACGCCGTGGTCAAAGCCGCGGTCCACGAGCTTGGCCTTGATGTTGTTCTTCTCGAGCTGCTCCTTTACTTTTTGAGCGAAGTCCGGGTCGCCCTTGGCTGGATACTTGACTTCGTAGGCCTCGTCGGGGAAGCCGTAGTAGTCGAAAATCATGTCGGGCTTGGAGGCGGCGGAGATCTCGAAGCCACTGCTCTCGGACTCCCAGTGAGCGGACACATACAGGATACGCTTGGGGAGATTCGTGCCCTTCGGGTAGAGCTTGTCGAAGGTGGTGGTCAATGTGCGGGCGGGTACGCTGCTCTTGCTCATACCGGCGAAGCCTGAAGACAGCAGCCACAGAGGACCGGGTCCATGCGAGACAGCTACGACTGGGTGGCGGAAGGCAACCATGGTTGTGTTGTGGTATCTATACAAGTGATTTGTGCGCTTGAAGGCGAATTGCGGAATGAGCGTTCTGTTGGTGTGGTTTCGTTATAGTCGGTGTATACTTGCTTGAGGCCGTTTTTTGTTCTGATAACGCTGACGGATTTGGCGATAAAATGTAGGTGATGGAAGTTCCAAGCTGGAAATTCCAGTCCCCGGAGCTTGCAGCCATCGACGTTCACAAGCGCCGACAATTATCTCTAGACGAACGAGACGTCTTGTGTATTTGTAGAGCTGCAAAACATGTGCATGGCTGCACGCTGCAAGTGACGGCGGCTTAATGTTAGTACTGCTCGCACAAAGTACTGTAGTACGCTATGAATGTATCCATTTCTATCCATTTAGAAATGATTGCGTGTTCAAAGACACGTTATCAAACCTAACCTATACACAATCAACCAATCATCGTCGCTCATAGTCAACCCGTGGCATGTTAATGTTTACCGAATTCATGCCGGTCCGACTCCGACTCGGAGACGGCTGCAATGGCAGTGCCATTACGTCGAGCGCAGCATGAGTTTCGCACGCTTCCTTGTTGCGCTCTGGTTCGTCACTATTCAAGCCGCTCCGACTACCCGCAACATGAATGCGTTCCGCCAGCCTGTCGTCGCCGTTTCACACGGTGCGGGGCCGCTCTGGCTGCTCGACGAAGGTGCCGAGGGACTTGACAAGCACTCGCAGTCTGCCAAGAACGTGGCGGATATCTTCAGCAAAATCTACTCGAGCGATGCCCAGTTGCCTAAGCGCATTCTCTTCATCTCAGCGCACTGGGAGGCGCGTAGCACCGGCTTGGAGATCTCCAAGTCCGCATCACCCGAAATGTTCTACGACTACAGTGGCTTCCCTGCTGAGGCGTACGAACTAGTGTACGGCGCCAAGGGCGACCCCGCATTCGCCGCACGAGTGAAGAAGCTGCTGGAGCAGAGTGGGATTATGTCCAAGCTCGTGGACCGTCCGTTCGACCACGGCACGTTTGTGCCCATGTTCTTGATGCGCCCACAGGCCGACATTCCCATCGTAACCATGTCTATCAACGATCGCATGCTCGATGCGAACAACCACTTCAAACTCGGCATGGCTCTTGCCCCGCTTCGTGACGAGGGCACGCTGATTATCACGTCGGGTCAAGCTACACACAATATGTACGCAGACTGGTTCCCTGAAGGCCACCCGATCGAGCCCTGGGCGCTCGAGTTTCAGAGCTGGTTGGACAAGACACTCTCGACAGCGTCTACACAGACCTACAAGGAGCGGATGGAGTCAATTGTCGCTTGGAAGAAGGCTCCGTACGCCTCGAAATGCCACCGCACACCGGATCACTTTACGACGTTTGTGGTTGGCGCGGGCGCTGGAATGGAGGAAGGTTCTCCTGCTGCGAAGAAGCTAAACGGTGGATGGGGACTCGGACATATGTCCTTCGCCTCATACGCCTGGGGAGTAGACTCAAATTTAAGCTATGCAGTCAAGGACGAGTTGTAGCGGAGACGGTAACGCAGACACCGTTTTTAATGTACTCTTCCTACTGTCTTCCTCGAAGTGTTCGCCAGCTAATTTGCTGCATGTATGGAGGTTTTACGAATTCTCTATGCTAAATATCAACAGGACTTGTCAAAGCATAGCAAGACTTGTCAAACATGACAATGAAGCCATCCAAGTTCAGAGCATAGAGAACCCAAGGCTCACAAGCCGTCCATGTAGCGCGCTCTGTCGTGACTAGCTTGGGATCTGTCATTACGATTGCGAATCCAACCAAGCTATTACGTGAACAAGTTCAACACCTGTACGACTAGCCCAGTTTCTTGCCGCCTTGTGGTGGTGCAGCTCCATGACGAGCTCGTCCCAGTCTCATTTAGCATTTTGCTTCCACCTCAACAAGTTCAATACCACCCGCCATCAATGCCTACCTTCCGTCACCCTGTCGTCGCCGTCTCGCATGGCCCCGGTCCTCTGTGGCTGCTCTCTTCAGGCTTCGACGAAATGAGGCGCGATTCTCGACCTGCTGCTGAACTGCTGAGTTCGCTCTTCAAGAAACTCTACCCCAAGAACGAGAACTTACCCAAGCGGATCCTCATCGTCTCGGCGCATTTCGAGTCTGACAGCAGCGGATTTGAGATCTCCAACGCTGCCAACCCAGAGATGGTCTACGACTACTACGGCTTCCCTGATGAGGCCTACGACGTCGTGTACCCTGCTAAGGGCGACCCTGCTTTTGCTCAACGAGTGAAGGAACAACTCGAGAACAACAAGATCAAGGCGAAGTTAGTCAACCGCGGGTTTGACCACGGCGTGTTCGTGCCAATGAAGCTGATCCGCCCCCAAGCAGACATCCCGATCGTCACCATGTCGATCAACTCGTACTTGAGCAACCTGGATCACTTCAATCTGGGCAAGATACTGACCACGTTCCGTGACGAGGACACGTTGGTTGTGTGTTCTGGTCAGTCGACCCACAATCTAAGAGGTCTCCACTTTCGCAGTCCCTCTCTTGTTGAGGGGACTAGAACATTCCAATACTGGTTGGACCAGACCTTGGCCTCGGAGTCAAAGCTCAGTGTTGAGGAGCGGACCAAACAGATTACGAACTGGCGCAACGCACCTGGAGCGAAATATGCGCATCCATCGCCTGATCATTTCATGACGTTCATTGTCGCTGCTGGAGCAGGAATGGAGGACAAGAAACCGGGAGCAAAACCGCTGTTTGGAGGTTGGGCACTTGGCCACATGTCCTTCGCAAACTATGCATGGGGAATGTAGAATTCTTGAGCGGAGCAGGAAATGTTGATGTTTATTGTATGGTTAATGTCAGCTCCATTTCATGTTTACACAAATTCTTCCGGGTGTTCTTCAAACACAAGAAAGAAATCTGCACCGTTTGTGCCGATGCAGCGCGATATTTGTTCTTTGTCTTCAAACAGGACTCGAGACTTGAGGCCAATCACTTGGATGTCCGCATCGGATGAAGCGTCTGACAAGAGACTTGCCCTCAACTGCTCTTTAAGAGATGCAACAGTCTTGCACGTGTCCAAGTTCACGCAGACTTCAACGAGCTGCAACAATTAATAGAAACCCATCAGAGATTATTCGATATGCCAACCACCCCTGTTGCAACCGTCATAGCCTTACCTCAGGAGATGTTTCAGTAGCAAACTTTAGTGTCACAAGTCCCAATTGTTCAGAATCGTTCACAGCAACGTTGGCAGCTTCGTCTTCATCATTTTCTACATTGGCCGTCTTTTTCGCAGCCCTCTTCTTAGTCTTCGCAGTAGCTGGATGTCGAGGTCTTTGTTCCGGTGATACATTTTCACGAATCTCTCTTGGTTCTCGTTCCTCCTCAGGTTGATTCGCAGTGTCCGGTGTTCTCCGTCGCTTTCGGCTTGAATTCCTGCACAAATTCTTCCACTTGTCCTGCGCGTATCATAGTTAACCTCGAGTCAGCGTTTCTTCGCAATAGTAACAATTGTACCAGTTCATTTGTACCTTGAGATCCACATTGGTCCGGTGACTCGAGAACACATCTTTGCCATCGATTAAAATCTTCTTCCACTTGCCAATGCCATACTTCTCCACTCCACGACGCAGAAATGTCTCCTCCTCAGCACTCCAGAACATCGTCCCGCGGCGTCCCCTATCTCAAATGATAATAAATAGTTCAGTATTGTCCTCTTTCAAGTGCATCCACCATATTTCTCACCTTCTAGGACGAGGCCGAGCCGTAGCAATAATCTCTCGGACTTGGTTCTCCTCTTCTACTCCATTTTCATCATACTGTTCCTCATGCACTTCCTGCACCTCTCCACCACCTTCAGTACCGCCAGTTTTGTCCTGTTCTCCCTGCTCATCGTTCACGTTGCCATTGTCGACATTACCAAAGTCCAGCTGCCTCGAGCGCGTAGACACGCCGTCGTCGCTGGTCTGTGAGCGGTCGGGTGTGCGCTGTCCAAGCGACGAAGCGATGTCCAGCAGAGATTGGTCCTTGCGTCGCCGTCCCGACGAGGTGACGGAGCTGATAGACGAGCGCCTGGACGTGGGCGTCACCATCGCTAGTAGGCACAATTTGAATTATGGGTACACAAATGACGATGAATAGTCTATATGGACTAAATCACAAATTTAGATCACCTCAACTTGTTGTTTACTCAAAGTCGTCGCGGGAATACTCTTCGTCGTCATCGTCTTCTTCCTGGTTATCTAAGGACATTGCATTGACAAGGCTGTCCAAATTGTTTGCAGGGGACGCATCAGCAATATTACCCTGGGCTTCATCCTCGAACTCGCTTGCGTATCCGCTAGCTTCGAGTTTGTCGTGCTGCCATTCTGTTGCGCGGGCGGGCGGAAGAGCATCTTCGTTAAAGTTGTCACCATCACAATCTCCTTCCTCCTCATCACTGCTTGATTGGGTGCGCTCTACTTGGGGTGACGGGGATGGTGACGTGACATGGTCCAAAGCTTGGATTTCACTTTCAACCTTTTCGGAGACAGCTTCTTCATCCCGTGTTACGTGATCTAATGTTTCTCCGCTTGAATCAGCGTCCGCCGCAACGTCCTCTGCAGATAGTACAGCAACATCATTCTGCGAGTTATTGTTGTAAAAATCTGCGTCGCTTTGATAGCACTCGCTTTCTTCTACTGCTATGTTGCTACCGGCTCCAGTGTCAGCATCACCTTCAAACGCTAAATCTCCCTGTGGCTGATCGGTCGAGTCATTCACTGCAAAGGCATTCAATTCAGTTTCCAATTCGACTCCCGGGGAAAATGCTCCAGACAGACTCATCGTATCTCGGTCGCCTTCTATTATCAATGGCTCTGGCTGGTCACTCTGCTCAATGCCGTTCGTGACGGGGTCTGTATTTCGACTTCGTCCGCGTGAAAATGTGAATCGCACTGCAACGATCTCGTTATCTGGTATAAATGCAGTTTGGCCAGCGCTTGAAACTGCGTCAATATCACTCGGTAATGGTTTTGCAGCGTTGGCGTAGATGCGAGGAGAATGTTTTTGCTGGCGCAATATCATAATGCGCCGATGATTGGCAGCACTTGGATGCTGGGCGAGTGCTTCAAAACCACCTCTACTACCGAGCAGAATCTGCCCCTTTGAGTCGCGGCGTCCCGAAGCTCGAGCGCTCAATGAACAAGAAAATTCTACGTATTTGTCTGAGTCTAACGCTGTTTTTTTCACGTGATGGTGGAGCGACTTTAGCGGCCTGGACCGGAGAACAGCTTGTGGTGAGATTTGAGCTCTGCGCAATTCTTGTTGAAGGGCATGTCTTCGTTTTTCTTGGGTTTTTAGGAATTCTTGAGTCCATTTACCATCCTTCTCCCATTCCCTGAAATTTAAGGTTGCTTTCGCACTTTGCAGACGTTTGTTAAGGGCCTAGAACATGTCACGAAGCTGATTAGAATCGAATGGGTACCTTCTCCAGCTAAAAAACAAAACTTACCTGGTTCTCTTGCCAGATTTTTCGTTGTTCCTGCCTTTTGTAGTAATCATGACTTACGTGGTGTCTCTGCGGAGAATCGTAGGTGGTCATATCACTGACGTTTCCGTTTATGGCGCGCTTCTTTGCTGGTGGTTTAACTGCTGGTATATCTGAAAGCTCCTGGTTAATTTCAAGCCCATCGTTTGTGTAATGATATGGAATACCTTTCCTGCTTCCATGAACGATCTCCTGTTTCGCATTACATGTACGTTGACCAATCTCTGAGTCGTGATTTGATGATGCGTCACCCTCGATCTCTTCTCGTGCGTTTTCTCCTCCACTGACGTCCAGCTCCTGGCCACCATTTAGATTAGGATTTCGAGTTATTGTCAGGATAGGATGCCGGGTTTTCATGGGACTTGACGGGCATCTCTTTTGAGTGTTCGGGTGATGGAACTGAGGGAGACGTGTCGATTTTGGAGACCTTGTGTCAACACAACTGTGAGCATTGGACACTCGAGACAGGTGGCTGGCGAGGTTTCTTGCAATCTCTCGAGTCCAAATTGTAGCATTGCTGTAAGGTTCTGCCCGTCGGCCGCGATCCATGGTTCAGTTGTCACTGAACCAACGTAGATGAAGCAGCAAGAGGTGGGTCGGATCGCCCTATACCAAGCTTGCAAGTCTTAAGCAAAATTAGAACTCTATGCGTTTTTAGGCTAAAAATGTGTTATGATGAATGCAGTGGCGAATGGGTTGGCGAATGTACAGGCGACGTACGAGTCTCCCGACGTGAAACAAGCCATTGCAGAGCCTGATCCCAGTGAACCCTCTCACGAGTACTACTGGTCTTGATCAACACGTCCTCATCTCGAATTTTTAAACGCAGTACACGATCTCCTTCGAAATGATCTTTTAGTAATGATTGAGTCAGGATTCTTTTCGAAGGTGACGAAGGGCTGCCTGGCTTGGCGAGAGAACGTTGCGGACACACTTCGAGCTGACTAACGAAAATGCGCTCAACTCGTGGTAGTTGACTTGATGCTTTTCTTCGAAATACAAGATAATCTCCGCTTGGGGCTAGTTGTATCTGGATATTCTCAACAACGTCGGGTCTGGCCTCCCAGATAACTCGAAACTTCGCTCCTTCGCGAAGCAAGTCGTGAAAAGGTTTCTGCGAGTCTGGAATTTGTATTTGAGGCTTCATCACTTTGGCTGCACCTGGTTTCTTTCGCGTCGATTGATAATCTAATGCTGATACTTTCTCAAGTGAAGTGCTGGCAATATGATAAACTTGGCTTCCGGTGACCTCGGGATATGTTTGGATGACCAAATCTAGGGCTTCCAACACGATTTCGTCTTGCAAGGCACGGTAGCTCTCGCCGCTATTTAGAACCAAGAGATCGAAAAAGCACAAGCTGCTTAACAACGTTTCCTCGTCGTGGACATGGCTGATGATCCGTTCGGCAGTGATCGGTATAGCGTTGTAAACTATCAAGATCTGGGCACACGCGATGTTCTCACTCAACGCACACAGTAGCCCATAGAGCGCTCGCTCAAGTGAATAGTTTGACCCTACATGCGCCAGCGATTCAATAATAGTGAATGAGCCTTTTGGCGAAATTGTTGTGCTTGTAGCGCTATCAATGGCGAGTCTCCCTAGTATTCCAATGAGTTTCTCGACGCACATCCCGGTGTTGTGTGTTTCCAGGCTGTGAATGGATTCGGCAAGCTGTAAGAGCCACATCGGCAATTCCCTCCATCCATGGCCAATTGCACGATCAGAACAAGCCATATTAACGAGACAGTCAATGGCCAGTTCGACTAAGGAACAGTCGAAATTCTTCTCCCAAATACGGTCAACAGTCTGCTGCAGTTCCTGAAGCCCATGCAAAACTTCAGCAGAGTCTCGTAGACATTCATCTTTTGTAAGACTTTTGAGTAATCGTAAGAGCGAAGCCAGCAGATGATTATCCCCTCGACTTGAAGAATTATCCAGCAAATCGAATATCAATGGTATAATGTCAGCTTCGAGTAGTTGAGTCAATAGCTCGAACCCCTTTCTTGATGATTCTCCGGGTAATACCGACACATGGGAATTCTTTTCGGGTTGCTTCTCAAACGATAAAACCATTTGATGCACCAGCTTAACGCAAATTTCACAGATTGAGGGGTTGTCTGGGTTCTTCTTCGACACTAACAGAATTGAAGCTGCAGCTTCTGCTGTCAGCAGTTGATCAACGATTTTTGGTAAGGTTTCACTGCGTGACGCCAAGCTTACCATCAGTTTGAGGCAACCTCTGACGATTGATTCATCATTGGCATGCAGTTTCAAACATGTCAGCAACACTTCAACAGCATCCGATTCGCTGAGGTGTCGAAGAGGGAGCTGTCGCTGCTCGATATACATGCGTATCAGCACCGTTACAGCTCTTTCCACCATGAAACTATGGCTCATGAACATGCGAATGATATCAATGACTGTGCAGATTGTGTCTTGAGCGGATTCAATAGCCACCTTATCGAGCTTGTTGAGGACTACCAATACGCATTTCAGCCAATTCCACGATGTTGGGCTGTTGCCAATGTAAGAAGCCACTGCACTGTTAAGGAGCGCAAGTATATCACCGCTGCGAAGTTGTTCGAATTCTTTGATTCGCATCACAATGATCAAATCTGGTAACGTAGCTAGGCTTTGATCGATGATCTCAAAATCTGTTTTCCAATGCACCAACAGCTCGAACAATAAGGGGACCATCGATACTGCTAGCCCGAATTCACCTTCAGTTAATTCTGCGCTAACGCTGTTGCAAAATCTGCAAAGATATCTTGCAAATGTCAGTGACGACCGGTGATGCAGCGAGCAGGAAGAAAGCAGCGCCGGAATGTCCAGCTGGTCATTAGATAACACGATCGTCGGGTTTACAAATGCTATCTGTTCAAGCACTTCCATAATAGTGCATATTGTTGTCGTCGTGATTGTATGGAGAAGAAGGATCTCACTCAGTGCCGGAACTAAGGCGGATACATAGCTGCGATTCATCGCCGTATTGGGGTCATCCAATACGAAGCTGATCTGGTCAATGGCTTCGCATAAGCGAGAGTATTCAAGTGGCTCGGTCGTGCTTTTTTCAGAGGTTTTCACATTCACATACGAAGTCTCACCTTTTCCATCTGTGCACTGCACAATTGTTCGACAACTTGAAAGAATTAATCTGCGTATTTTGCCTTCGTTTAAAGAGGACTTGCTAGTACTCGTATTTGGGCCAGAGACTTGTGGTTTCGGTGTTCTTGTTGCAAGTTTTTGCCGCGCAATGTACAATTGCTGAATGAACATCTTCACTTCTTCATCTGATCGTGACGATACAGGTACAATTTGAGACCTGCACTGCTGAATCAATGGCAAGCTGAAAGTGGAAGCATCAACAGCTAAGAAATATTCCAAAACGAGAGCTGCTAAGTGGGAGCGAGAAGATTCCACGCTAGTTTTGACAAGAACGAACAACAGCTGAAGAGCGAAGATGGAATTCTCATTCGACAGATTGGCTCCGAAGCCAGCGAGAAAACAGCAGATTTCAAGTGCCAAATGAGTGATATCTTCGTATTGGGAAGGAGCACAAATGACATCGTGCAGAATGCCAACCCCACCGAGGTCGGAGCAAACAACTGCACAATTTTTTCTCCTCACAAACAGCTTCAGTATTTCCAGCGCGCAACGCAGCATCTCATTCCCAGGTATTTCTCTCCATTTCCGTTGAGTAGTGTCACCAACTCTACCAGCAACGTTACGTTTTATAATCGAGAGAAGTGTGTTTAGCTCCATCTCACCAATACGCTGTGTATTGTGACGAATGCCATACATATGTTGAAACAAAAACAACATTATTTGAGCGCCATGGCTAGGCGCTGCCCGCGCGACTTCGAATAGGTGTAGAAGACCTTGCGGAAGATCCAGCACTGACTCTAGGAGTTGTTCTTGGGACCATCTATCAGGTGAAAGAATTTTCAGTAGCTCCAGTACACTGTCTACTTCTCCACTTTCCCACCGAGTGCCGTATACATCTCGAAGTGAAGAAAAACAGGTAAGTAGACTCTTTTCAAGACATACCGATCGATTCAACCCAGTCGTGAGTCTCTGTATCGCCTTGGACAGGACGTGAGTGGTGGCGTCAATAAAGAGCCACGCAGCTGCTCGGGATAGATACACCATCGACGCCAAATCGAGAAAATCAGCAAGCGCTTCATCCGATATACAAATAGGAGTAAGTAGTTTCCTGATACTGACAGTCGACTCCTCAATGGTGCTTCGTTCAGTTTCAGTCTTGAATCCAGCCAGGCAAGCAATCCTTAGGTGAAGGCTAACAACCTCAGAGTATTGCGAGGCTTCGAAACTTGGTGCTGCCATGAAAAGGTCGTAGAAAGATAATCCAGACTGAGCCATGGGTTGGACACAACCGTCCATAGCACCCCGTGACGTATCCAAACTAAGTTGACCGTACTTGAAGCTCAACTGAGCAATAGTTTCTCCAACATGTTTTATCACCGTATGTGAATTTAATATAGTGGCTTGCTCTGAAATTAGACGCTTGGTTTGCTGTTGAAGCTTTTCAAATAGAGAATTGCAGTCTACTTGCCACCCCGTTGTCTCTGACGGACCATCCACTATTGTTATACAATCTAGAAAACATTTCCACGAAATCACGTCTGAACTCTGAACAACCATATCAACGAGATTGATTAGCAGCGCCGATGGGTTCGATGATAAACGCAGCAACCTTTCCGCGTAAAGAAGGCCGTGAGACTGAAGTACTGCTCCAAGCACCACCAAACACCATTTTTCGCAGGATTTCTTTTCGGTACTTCCTACACCCACATGAATGTTGAACGCATGTCGTGTGGCTCGATGTTGAATAATAGAGCGCGCGTATTCTGCACCAAGTTGAATGCAGTACTGAAGTATAATACCGGAAGTTTGAAGAACTTCTTCCATTAACGCAAATTTGGTCATATCAAGCTTGGTGTTCAAATAGAAGCTATCCAAAGCTCCTAGACAAAACCGAACAAGCAATTCGCATCCATTGTGTTCGGACTGAATAGAAAATATCTCGTTCGAAAATGATAACAGAGTCGAGATGATTCCTAGCAGAGATACTGCAACGTCGTAACCATCAGATACCGCACCCAGGTGTGCAACATCTCCACGGACGAGCTCCCATAAAACACTTTGGAGTTCCTTGGTATGCGAGGATGCCTGAACTACTTCTCTGCATTGATTGCAGCGAAGGAGGTAGTTTAGAGCATTCAAGAGCTCCATCAACAACGCCGGTTCAAGAATCGTGTGTCCTGAAACTATTCGGAGAAGGACAAACTCGACAATAAGCGTGAGCACGCTTGACCCTTTGTCATCCAGTGCAGCTATCCATCGCATGGAATGCCACGCTGTGTCCTCGGCAAAATGGCACAAAGCGGCGTTAATCACTTCTTCTCGTTGAACTGTAGGAAAAAGCTGACTCGATAAACACCCCAGTTCCAGATAAAAGCCTGCTTGATCTCCCAACGCTTGTGCGTACTCGTTAACATTTTCAACAACTGAGGTGAGATAATCAAATAGTCCGTGATAACCATCAATCGTCTTCTTCCCTTGGCTGGAAAATAGCAAGGATTCCAGAGCTTTGAAATCTTCGGATATATCCATCATTGCGGCATTCTCATTTACCCCTTCTGTCGCGGTGTATTTATCCAGCCGGTATATCAGCCTTTTAATATAGCTTGTAGTCGCAAACTGCGCAACTGCGTTGTCGAAGAACCGTCGATTTACTTGAGCCGTGGTAGAAGGTAATAAAATGAAAATACCAGTAAGTTTTCCCAGTACTCCAAGACACCTCGAAACTAATGTGTCTGGCAGGGAATCCGACGCTTTCGATATTTCTTCTAGCACGCGAATGGCACCAATGCACTCTGATTGACTCAGCGTACAGCAACTTCCGTGTTCTACTGACTCGTTCAGGACCCCAAGAATCACTTTCATCATTTTGATATGCTGTCCTTTAGCTGATTTGCCTGACCGTTGTCCTTGTGACAAGATCATCAAGGTAGTGCTAAACAGCAGCTCTCGCGTTCTCGGTTGAGTGCAATCTCTCTGCAAAAATGAGGTGGCTACCGCGATCCACCGGTTTTCTGCTTCACTGCTGAAAGACATTTGGAATGTAAGTACAGCTTGGAGCAGACGACAGCCACTGTCCACCAATGATGGTGGCATATTATTCATTCGCAAAGCTTCCTCAAGACACCCAATAATGGCATCGTCTGCACCAGAGTCTCCCAATCGGCAGTAAATTGACTGTGAGTCAACCGCATTGTCCTTCGTTACAGGATCCATAACTCGTACCACGATGGGAGAATTCACAACGTTGCTCGCTGCATAAAAGCAGGTGGTGACGAGCTGAACAAATGAGCCGTCACTACGTACTATCAGCTCTTGTTTAGCGTAGCGTAGCGTGCCAACGATGCACCGAATCGCACCCTCGTCAATCAAAAGAGGAAGCAACGGTTTCACACATGCAAGAGCCCCTATCACACAGCAGCACGCATCTAGTGCTTTCACTGATATGGCCTGAGAAACGCAAGAAAAACGTGAATACCATGGACTGTTTCTTGGAAACCATAAACCATAAGTACATGTAGCACGTACCGAAGGATTGAACCTGCGCCCAATGGAGATATCAGCATGGGGTTCCAGAATGCTTATACTCCTAGAAACGTCAAGCTTGTGAGCAATATCACAGATTATCCACCGAGCAGTCGATCCAGCATCGTCTATAGAACTCCACTGGTACATGCACATTGCCTTGGAAACGACTTGTAGCAGTCCTCGGTCGATAAATGCCGCTCGAATACTGGCATTCACCTTCAGCATGAACTACAGTTAGTTGTACTTATAGAGAGGTATGCACGGTAGCAGTTAATAGACAGAGCCTACCCCTTACCAGTGCTACCTTGACGAGACTCAGCATTTCGGCAGTAAACTGTTCGTCTATCAACTTTGAGCGTATGACTCGAACAATATCTCGGATATGGTCATTCGATAGAAGAGTTTGGCTGTCAGATTGCCGGGACATGAGTATTGTCAGCGCCTTCACGCATTCCAACTGGGCCAAACAATTGCCTTCGAAAGCGATCATTGTCTCTGCAATCGAGCCACATAGCACTCTGGAAGTGATAGAAGCCAGTGGATGTTTTTAGTAAACTGAAAGAAACTCTGGAGTTGACGGTAGAAACATACGGCAAAGAAGTTGTTGGGCTAATGTCAGGTACGGACAGAAGAAGATTCACAACAAGGCGGGCACAGAGTGGTAGCTACATCCATTATAAACAGCGTAAAATGCCATGACATGGTTAGCAAGCTTTCAGCATCACATGTAAATTGATGAATCGCACCTGGTTATGTTTATGAAGCACCGACTGGAAAACGTCCACCAGGTTACTTCCTGCAAGCGCTTCGAGAAGTCTCTGGTAGCCATGACATACGTCAGTAACGCATATTTCGCGTTCACATCGTTTCTTAGAGACCTCACCTCGCAGTGTAACAAGATTTTCACCGGTGCTAGAAGGTAATGAAGTAGCACGTCGTTGTCGTCTTCGCACCGTTCGCTAATTGCTTCAAACCACTTGTTCATGCCGGTGCCATTAACTTGGATGTCGTTCCACATCTCATCAGGCCAATGAACCGACACGTAGTACAGCGTTTGCGCCAATGCCGTTTCAACCGCTGCGTTATTCAGCAATGATCCTGATGTAAACGCGTTAATAAGTACTGCTACGCCTCCATTGTCCAGAAACACTCGAGCTCCTTCTCTACAACACCATAACGCACACGTTGGAATCATATTAAAGCAAGTCTGACGTCAATCTTGCATGCTCACCTCCACGTTACGCCCAGCAAAAGCTTCATGGTAGCGTTTTGAAACGCAGTCGACCAGTCGTCAATGTTTCTGCCATAAGACCATGAAAGTCAGTAGCATTCGGGTAGCCCGACAAGGTTTAACCTGCGTACGATTCAGCTAAAGGGATAGCTAGTTCAACCAATCGCTTGAGCGACTGATGAACAGCAGTTTGATGCGGTTGTTGAATAAGGTTTTCTACGTAGAGTTTGTGGCTCTGAAAGGGAATGAACAACCGTTAAAAACATGTTAGAAACTCGAAATGCGAAAAAGGGTTATCCTGTAAATGAAATACCTCTTCGAGATCCATCATGAGCTGATAGTGATGAAGCACGGTCGCTAGAATTGGCGCAGAGTGTCCGAGATGGGGTATTCGAGAAGGTGTACCAAGAATCCTATATCGAATCATTAGTTATAGGTTCAACCGACGCGTAGAACGGTACTTAAAAGCGTACCGAAAGATAACTACCGCAGAAGCTGAGGCAAATGATCTGCTTATTCCAACAGGCTGTCGATAGCACTGATCCAACGTCTTCAAAATGATATTGGCGGGAGTAGCGGGCACAACAACATCCGGTTTCAGTTGGAAAAGTTGCTTCAAACTCAGCAAGCATTCCAATTGCACATCGTTATCTAAAGAGTTCGTGAGCTGTACAACAACTCATCGTTAGCACTGCAAACTACTTATGCAGGACATTTAAAAGCTTCAACCATCGCTTGTGCTGTGGTCGAAACAACTTGAGTCCATAATCCGTTCTCAAGTGACTCCAATTTCCCCACAAGCTTCGACAAGAGATTAATTCCAAGCTGAATGCATGCAGGCTCGTTTTGATACATCACACTGTGCACGACTTTGTCGAGAATAGCCAAGATCTCTATGACATCGCATTAACGCACAAATTCGATGTCAGTAAGGTCGGAGTGTTCTCAGTGCTTTAGCCAAACTTACCAGTTTTCCATAAAGCTCTGGTCATAACTTCATCCGCTTTGTTCATAAGCACAACAAGCAGCTCAAAACACGGGCGAATAAACGCGGAGGAATCTAAGTTGACTGTCATCGCACTAACTGTCGCCTTTAGTGTCCCAGTGTCTATAAAAGCCTGAATGCTGCGAGTGATTTCGTCGCCACTAGTGTCCCCATCGCACAACTCTTGGCGTAGTAGCTGAACACCACGCTGCACAACAGGGTAGACGTCCTGGTACTGCGCGATGGCATTGACGAGGGCCTCCATTCGATTTCCATGCACAAATGAGCCCTCCATTTGGGCAGTTCTCTGATCTTCATCTCCATCCCGCTCTGATCCTTGGCCGACGCCAATATCTCCTTCCATCACGTTGACAAATGACCTTAAACAGAGAAAGCGAGGTTAAAACGACTCTTCAAGTTAGGTCATATTTTCGTGCCTAACAAGCTCAGATGTGCTGCTCAATCGGAGCGCCAAATGACAGGAACCTCGTCGGTGCGGAATCTGTAGTAGAAACAAGAGCAGGCAACAAATAAGTTCTAGACACTAGCAAGCTACAGATTTTCAATGATTCACTCGTACCTTTGCGTGCAAGTAGCCTCCTTCAGTGGCGTGGTCTTTCCGTATTGGAATTCAAGAACTCCAGCTTGAGCAATCATCGCACCATTGTCGATACAATAGCGCTGGTCCATAGCGCAGACGCGTCCGTTGCGCTCTTTCGCCATAATCCCCATCATTTCCTGAAGACGCAAGTTGCATCCGACGCCACCGACGATAAGCACTTGGGATTGGCCACAGTGCGCCATCGCACGCTCCGTAATTTCCACCTAGAAAGCGCCAGCATCAGCTTGAACTCAAAGCAAGTTAACGCCAATTTCAAGGGGCTATGCAGCGTACCAGCATGGCGAAAATCGTCTCTTGCAACGAATAACACAAGTCCGCCTTGGTGCATTCTCCCGATTTGATCTTGTCGCTGCAGTTGCAAGAGCAGGCACATTAGCAACGCAACGCATGTTGCCAATAAAATCGAAAGAACAAATCAAAGTCCTCAGACATACTTGGCTTCCTTCTCGATGAAGGTTGAGATCCCCGAGAACGACACATCCATGCCCTTTACAATGTACGGCAGTTCAATGAACTTCTTGCCTCTGGATAGTAGTAGCACAGAATCAAGCCCAGACGTCAGAACAGTGAACAAGCTGTGGCGCTAATAACTCGTTCACATACTCTCTCGCCAGCACTTCGATATTGTATCCTGGACTTGGGTCATTCGACAGCTCTAGCACTCGAGCGAAGCGGTCCAGGCAGTTTCCAACAGCGATATCGATCGTCTCACCAAATATACGGTAGCTGCACAGTGTAAACAAGCGCCAACGAATCAGCCCTATACTTTAAAAAAAAATCCAATCAGCACCATCAGTTTCGCACCATTGCATCGAATAGGCGATGACTTGAGTGTTGCCGCCACTGACATACAGCACGACGGGGTCAGCAGCCTTGGTCACCGTCCGACCCATCTCAATATCTGCCACCATCAGCATTAACAGGCTAATTAGCATGGAAGAATAGGAATATTTTCATCGCGGCCCACGTACGTCCGACGCAGTGGTTGACGCCAATCAGCGGCTTGTTCCACAGTAAGGATAGCATACGCGCGCAGACGGCGGCAGAGCGCAGTGGACCGCCCATTCCAGGTCCCTTTGTGTAGCATATGCAGTCTAGTTGTTTCGGAGAGACGCCGGCCTCCGCCAATGCCGCCCGCACGATACCCACCACGTGGTTCTGGTGGTGCCAAGCAGTCTCGCGCGGCAGAAACCCCTGGCCTGGCGGCGTGATGTACGTCTTGCGTGGGTTGGACAGAATCTCCGTTTCACCATCGGCGCGGTAGCGGATGATGCCTACGCCCAGCTTATTGGCGCTTCCCTCGATGCCCATGGCGAGTACATCGCAGTCCTTCCGCATCGGTGGCGTCATGTTGGGCTTGTCAATTGCTGGACAAACGCTTTGCGAATTTGATTGGTCGAAATCCTACCCTGCCAGATAAAATATTATAAATGATAGGTCTGTAGAATGCGGTAATTGCGACCTTTCGTTACAAGATCTGCAACGATGTTGCTGGTGGCGGTGGTGATCGCGGCCATGTGCTGGGTTGCGGGCGTTAGAGCAGACTTTAATCAGTGTCTGGGGCTGGAGATGGCCACAATGCTCACCATCCCGTCGTGTATGGAGCTCTTTAGCACATGCCAGGTGGGAGTCAACATGCTCAACCAGAAGTTGGGCGATACTGCGTACAAGCCCGTTAGCCTCATTTCCGCTAGCGAATCCAAGACGTTACCGGAGGATAGTACCAAGATAGCTATGCTGGTGCAGCTGGCGCCACTTACCGACTGTCTCTCGGCTTCAGCGACGGCAAATGACGATAGGTGCGGTTGACACAATTGTCATTTCCTGAATGATGCAGTTATCGCGCTAATTTATTGTGCGTCGATCTTTCTGCAGCTGCAAGTTCGATATGACCAATGTGGAGTTCTATAGCATCCTGCTGATGCACGATTTTGGTGCCAGTTGGAAGCTGGAGGGCTACAAGCGTCACTCGCTGTCAGGTAGGCTTAGAATTAAAAAGCGGTGGATGTCTTTTGTGTTGCTCATTCTATTGCTTTTCAAGATGATGAGCGTGCGAAGATTGTGGAGGAATACAATAGCGGACAGTTCTATGGCAGCAAGCTTGCGATTGGCATTTTTGACGCGAACAATCTTCCCCTAGTGTCTGATTCGAAGGAGACAGAGCCTCGGAAACCCATAGCAGTTGTAGCTGCTTCTGTTACTGCTCTGTTTTGCTTCGGTTTGGTGTTACACCAGCGCAGACGCCTTCAGAATGGTTACGCACCGATCCACCTCTCGAAACGAGGTCATGTGCAAGGTAAAAAATCTCCAACTGCCAAAGATGTCCCTGAAGAGAGGTCCCTGCGCCCAGCTGATGCTACGGGTACTGGAGGCCAAACCTTCAAGCAGGAAGCTAACGAACGCTTTGCGGTCTAAGTGTTCATGGTGTAGGATCGAACTCAGCTTTGTGGTTGTAAACAAAACAAATGAAATTAACCGGCTTCACTGTCATGCCAGGTGAGTTTTTGCGTCTACTTCTTCTTGAAAATGCCAAAGTAAATCAAGAGCAGAATAGCGATGATGATGAACCCTGCCGCAATCGACAAGGCCATTCGCTGGCGTTTGTCTCGTGCTGACATGCGGCCAACGATGTTGCCTCCACGACGAGCCATCTCGTTCACGTCTTTCACCTTCGCGTGCGTAGCTTTTATCTTCTCACGATTTCGGTCAAGTTCCTCACCAATTGCAAGTGCTAACGCGAAGATACACGAATTGAGGTGAATTATTGTCCTATAGAAACATAAAATAACATGCTATTGACGTACCAACTTCCTCCGTGTCAGCAATTTCTTTTCGTGCGGCCGCAAGCTTGTCCGTTGTACCTTTCATCCTACAGCGCAGCAATAGTACCCGATCCGTTAGTTTTCTGGATATGTGAGCGCAATCACATAAAACTTTAACCAGCTTACTTGTTGGTAGCTGCTGCCATGCGATTGCGGTGCTCCGCTGAAGCCTATCATCGTCATTAAGCAAGTAAGCACAAAATAGTAACAAGATTAGCAGCCATCCAACTGAATCTATAGCATAGTATCCACCGTACCGCATTGCCATCACGGTCGCCGAAAAGTCCTTCGCGCTCCTCCTTCTCACGTATTTTCTTGTGGTCCGCCGACAGCGAAGCCAAGCTCTTCTTGTACTGATCCACTTTCTTCGAGAGTTCGCGACGAGTGGCTGCGTCTAGACTCCTCACCTCCAACTCCATCTGCTGAATCTGCAAAATGGACAACAAAAAAGCACTGGACGTCAACCTCCATCCTTGTTCTTCTTCAATGTTTTTTCTTGCCCTACCAGTTGCGTAGCTTGTGTCAGCAAGTCTCCCACATGCACGATGCTCGCTTTCTTTTTGTCTGCAACAACACAAGCAATAACAACAGTTGTAAGTTCACAATAATCCCATCTCCGCTCTGCGTCCGCCAGATCAGCACCTTTCTGGTCCTCGTACGACGCAATCTCGCTAAGTTTCTTGGAGATATCGCTGGTCAGCGTGCGATACTCTTCATCATAGCCGTCAAAGATGGTGGTCATCCTGCTCCTGCTCAAGCTCTGACTCGGGGGCGACTCTGACGGAGTTCCTTCAAAGGAAAATCAAGCCAAGAATGCAGGACTCTATTCTGGCCCGCCCTTTTTTTAGTGCGAGATGTGGCACACACCAATCATCAAATGAATGCCTAACAACGAGTACGTTTCACTCCTATTTAGGAGTATACGTCGAATCGATCCCATGCCGCGTGTCATTCTACAAGTTGCCGTCCTAGCGTGTACTTCGATCGCTCGAGTTGCTCAACTAATCACCTGAATAATGCGTCGCGGATTCTTGACTCTGCTCCTAGTGGCGCTGGCAGTACTGGCTGCTGTGGGCATGGCTGACACTGAACACGAGGAGGTGGCGATCGACGTAGACAGCGACCTGATTGTCGAGGGGGATACGCTTGAGGCACAACCTGAGACGGCCGAGACTCCGAGCGAGGATGACGCTGTGCCCGTGCACGAGATCGACCCGCGCTTGACGCCCGAGGCCATGGAGAAGGTCTTCTCGAAGATGTCGGCCAAGTGTCTTAAGCAGGTGCAGGAGAACCCGACGGACCCTACGAAAGTATCTGAGCGCTGTCGCGCCGAGGTTGGACGTCGGATCCAGCGCTACCTAGAGCGTCTGGATAAGGAAGAGAAGGGTGAGACAGAGAAGAAGACGGAAAAGACCGAAAAGAAGCAGAAGCGTCGGAGCCGCAAGAGCAAGAAGCAGACGCGTGCTCAGCGCGAGGCTGCCAAGGCCCAGAAGAAGGAAGAGGAGTATCAGCAAACGCTGCAGACCATTCTTGTCTTTGTCGTGACGCTCGTGGCCATCATCGCTGGCGCCATGTTCTACATCAACCGAAAGCTCAAGGCTGCTGGTATGTACTTCCCGGACCCAGATGCCAAGGCCACCTGCTGCAACTAAGTGTTAACTAGGCGTAGACAGTAACGTGTCCTCCGTTAGTATCGGAGACTTGCGTAGAAATGCATTTGCTAGCATTCAGTACATTTACTGAAAGCCAGACGTCTATGGATTGCCTGTACCTAGGTACTAGTATTTGTTGATGGTGCTATTTCTTCCCTAGAATCCGTGGCGCTATTAAACAACCTCAATGGAGCCGTGCTTGAATCCGTTCTTGGTTCCGTTTGAGGTGATAAGCGGCGATATTTCACCTTGCTTGGCTCCATTAATCGCACTGCTGGGATAAACCGGATCACAGTGTTCTGTGTGCTTTTCTGACAGGACAATGATGCCACCCACTGTCGTGACGATGCTGCAAGGGTAGACAACTAGTTGCCACCATGAGTTCATGCCCGAAATCTCGTGGAAGAAGATAACACCCGAAATGGAGCCGATGAGGATGAGGAAAGCCTGGTAAATCGCAACGAGATAAAGCGCGTCGTACTCGCGCAGACCTCGATCAAGGACGTAGATACCACCGCCTGCCGTGGATAATGCAGATACGAAAATGATATATGTCTCCGGATTCGACCAAATAGCTCCACCTTCAGCCAGCAATTCAACTGAGGCCTGAACAAACAATTTCACCATTGCATTTGTTTTATTAGAAACGTGGACGAAACCTGACAGCCATCAACAGTTACTCACCTTGAGGAAAAAGAGGTTGCCACCGATTAAACCAGAGAGAGCACCGAATGCAAACCTCCTCCACCCGCTCTTCTTGTCGTACGTGCAAATCATCCACACCAACTACAACAGCAATGCATTAGCTTCAGCACATCAAGGTATCACAATGAAATCGAAAGCTGCCAAAACTCACCACCGCCGCTGTGCACACAGCGAATACGGCGTACTCGAGGAAGATACGGCTCTGGAAAAGTGCAAAAAGCTCGGCGCTGTGGTGTGTCGGTGTATCGTGACTTCCCGAAATTCCAACAAGCACGCAGCCCAACAAAATGACTGCTGATCCTCTAATATCGTGTGTGGACACCTTCTCATTAAGTAGATACGGTGACAACACGATATTCCACACGACGCTAAAACCAGCCATAGGCGCCAAAATAGACTGCAATTGCCCAACAACACAGGGGTATGTTAGCATGCCACACAGGCAGCTGCAACAGCATAACTATCTCTTTTATCTCACCTGTGCTGCATACGCGTAGCTCATCGCATCAAATACGGGGTTGAGCAGGAATACGCACACGGTTGCTGCTGCCTTCACTGACAATGCCTGAGACGATGTGTGTGCCAACTTGAGCAGCACCTTGCCCAGCGTGCCGAAGAGCGTGGCGGTGAGCGACAGCGACACACCGATGACCCAGAGGTGCGACGCCATGGCTGCTTGGGAACCAAATATAAATATTGGAGACCTGCGGGCCGACGAGTGCCGCGATTGACGCACGCGAGGTCAAGCGGAAGAGAGCACGAAGTGACGTTTTTCGGAGCCAGCGTCGCCATACCTCGCACAATTGGTACCGATTGTGGAAGGGTGCTAGACGTTTTCTTGACTCTATTTTTGTATGGGTCTAGTTGAAGCTATCCTACCACTGGTTGCCTACCAGCAACTTCGACATTGGGTAGCAGCATGCAAAAGCTAAGTCGCACAAAGTTTCTCTTCATCCATTTAAATGCATCCCGACCTTCGAAAACATAGCTTCGTCTTCATGCTCATTATGAACATAGTGTTACCTTATCACCACCAAGGCCTGTCCTCTTCAAAACGTAACAGACCTATTCGTAGAGCGTGTGCTTGCTGCCGTTACGTGATATGAATGAGACTGAACTGGCCACAGAAAGCAAAGACCAACGACAACGGACGATGCGCGATGCTGCTTTCACTGGTAGTAGCGATCGACGGAGAATAAGACGTCAAACGCTCAACGATAAGACCTAATTTGACTGGATCTGCAACGCAAACCCACAAATATCATAAATGAAAGGCAGGCCCGTACTAAGAGCTGTCACAAACATATGAATGCCTGCACATTAGGCGAGCGGCTTGCTCAAGCGCCTTACACGGACGCGTGAGCTGCGCCGTTGGCAAAGGTGCCTTCCTCTTCTTCCGCATCGTCGACGGCTTCGGAGTCCGAATTGTCCAGAAGATCGTCGCCGTCATCGGTAGCATCCTGCGCTCCTCCAGACGATGTGACATTGGCTTCAACGTCAACGTCCAGGTCCGATGCGCTCAAGACCGAATCCAAGTTGTTGTCGTTCGACTGGGGTTGGCCCATCACCAGGCCAGCGACGCCGATGACGGCCGCCAAGCCGCCAATGATTCCGCAGATGACAACCACTGGGCCGTACGCGTCAATGAACGACTTCTTTTCCGTTGAGTCAGTACTGCTGAGCTTCGTCACGAGCTGATTGACATCGTTGGCCGTTCTAGTGACCTCTTTCTCGTCCGGCGTGGCGGTTTTCTTGGTTTTGTCCGTCGTCTCGCCACCTGTCGACTCCGTGCTCGAGATCTTGACGCTTCCATGGTTGTACTCGACCACAGTCTCGTCCGTTGACTCCTTCTTGGAGGGCTCCTTCTTGTGGTGGCCCTTCGCGAGCTTCTTCCCGGCCGAAGCACCCTTCGACTCCATGCGGACGGTACCATGGTCATAGTTACGCACTGTCTCGCCGCTTTCCGTTGTTTCCTCCCCTCCATCCTTCTTGTGGTGCTTATGTGAGTGTTTTCTTGACGGGGAGGCGTCTTGGAGCTTGGGCTGGGAAGCTTCCTCTTTCGGGTGCGCCTTGATGTGCACCTTCACCACCTCCTCTTCCAGCTGCCGCTGGAGCGACACCGTTTCAGCATTAACACTCGCACCAGGGGCCTCTGACAGGAGAACGACTGCCACGCACAGCACCGCCAGGACTCGAGAAAGCACCATCGTGAAACTGGATCGCTAGCAAATTTTACACTGCCTTCCGCCCTTTGGCTTCTTTCGATTGGGTTTGAATGGGTTACAACACCTGATTTAAACGGATTTCACGGGAAAAATGATATCAGAGGAAGACACAACTGTGAATGCTACAGTGATCATACATTCTGATGCCATGCAATTCTGCAGTCTACAAACTTTAACCGTATGCTTATATGTCATGCATGGGTTTATTCTGTTGGTTGCGCTGCCTGCGGCGCTACTGTGCCCACGCGTAGGTCGCGTAGGATAGGTGGGTCTCGGCACCCCAGCCACCGTACAGCTTCATCGCCTGAGGGGCCTCTTTCTCCATGCCGGCTCCTGCAGCGACCAGGAATGGCATGAAGTGGTCCCCTCTCGGGTGTGCCTCAAGGGCGCCGGGTGCGGATTCCCATGCAAGCAGCTTCTCTTGCCGTTGCGCGTACGTGAGATCCTCCTGTTCCTCTTCATCCCTAGTTAGTACCGAGTCCAGCCACACCTGGAAATCCAGTCCAGACTGTGGAATGTCATCTCCCTCTCCACGCTGGCCATGCGTCGCCTGGCCAGAGCAGATAATCAGTGTGTCCTGATCTCTTAGCGGAGCCAAAGCTCGACCCAGCTCGAAATGTGCCCGTGCATTTAGCTTCCAGTTGATCGATAGCGTCACCACCGGGATGTCTGCTTGGCGACGGATCAGCGTCAATGGCACGAACGCTGCGTGGTCGAACGCACGTAGCACTTGCGTCGCCTTGATTTTACTTCGCGACAATAACGTGGCTACCTCATTGGCAAAGTCGGGGTCGCCTTTCGCGGGGTATACCACCTTGTACGCGTCCGGGGGAAACCCTTCGTAGTCGAACAGCATTCCCGGGTTGGGCAACTTGGAGATCTCAAACCCGATGCGGTATGTCTCCCAGTGCGCTGACACCAAAAGAATACGCTTCGGCTCGTGTGCTCCACCCGGGTAGAGCTTTTTGAAGATGGACGCAACGTTGCGAGCTGGTTTGCTTGAGCGGCTTTCCGAGCCTTGTTTGAGCAGCCACAGCGGACCCGGCCCATGTGACAGAGCGAGAACTGGGTGGTGGTAACTATCGTTGTCAGAGCTCATCGCTAAATGAGCCTCGGCACCTGCAGATCAAAAATTGTGAAGTCCAGGATGGAATTGCGCCGCACACAGGAATTGTCGCTGTTCACTGCATCAATGAACAGAAGCCCGATCGATACCCTAGTTAGGCGCTATTTTATTGGTCGGCTCCAATTTGATTGCGTACTTCCGCTGAGTTATCAAGTGTTAGCACTGGCAACGTTGGAGCTAAAGTGTTGTTGATCCGGTGCACTAGCTGGAAGCGAAGAGGTGAATTTTCTCCGTAGTCGTGGTGGTCGGCTTCAACAATCCGTACACGACGTCACCTGAAAGATGTAAGGGTGTATCCTCTTCGTCTTGATACCTTGCTTTCAGCATCTGGACGCCACCGGAAAGTTAAATCGCAATGCAGATCACTGCAAAGTGTTATAACACGCCGTCTACAAAACAGCATGATTGCTTACCCGCTTGATGCCGCCGATGGTTGATTCACGGGTCTCATGGTCTCTCCACACGAAATTATCGCCGAACTCGTGGTAATAGCGGGTGTCTTGCAATTTCAGAGTTTGCTATCCGTCAAGCATCACAATAAATGAGCCATGGATGGAGTATCCAGGAAACCTTCTTGAGTTGCTCAAAGCTCACCTTCTCGTCGATGCGGCAGTAATATCTGGACAAGAGCAAGAACCCGAACTCCATCACTCGCTGCAGGATGCAAAAATCTCAGTTAGACAAATTCAATCTGGTTACATAGCACACCACTATTTACCACTCGAACTTCGACGTAAATTTCGCCCAAGTCTCGAATGTCATCTGGACATGCCACACGTTAACGTACAACAACGTAAAAAAAGAACCCTACCGGGTACCTTCGAAAAGCAGGACACGTTCGTAGAACAGAATGGCCACTTGCTGCTGCAATTTGTCCAGAGGTAGCGTATCCGAAGTTTTAGTGATCTTCAACGAACACCGCTACATGTATGTGCACACACCCCAAGTGATGTATCAATATATGCCGTATAACAGTAGACACCCAGGTCCTCCAAGCGCAACACCTTTTGCGCGACGGTCCCGGCATAGGTTGTACTGAGTCAAGCACAACCACGAGTACCCTTGTCAGCACTACATTTGATTGGTTATCTGTTGCTCCTTACCTGTATGTGAAGTCAAATGATGATGGTTCCCATTGATCGCTGCGGCGAAAGGAAAGACGGAGTGATCACCTTGCCTTCACAGTTTGCAGACAACGTCCGATAAACCACTTACGCTTCTTGTTTGTGGTCCAGCATCCACGTATGCAGTGCCTCCTTAGCATCAAAGTGGATCGTCAAACCGCGAGCGGGGTGATCAATCTGGAGGGTGCTGTCGGCGAACACGACCTCGGGCAGGGGGATCGCGGGGCGAAGGCCAAGTTCCGAAACCAGCTCCTCGCGCTGCGCTGAGCTCATCGCTGGCGCTTTGTGGCAGGAGAAGCGCCATCCGCCGACTTCGCACGCAGACTCGGTAGGGCCATGGCGAACAGTCGTCGTCACTGTCGTTGTCATGCTTGTTGTGCGATTCAAATGTAAATTAAACCCAGGAATCATAGGGTTTTTATCTTGATTTGCACCAGAGAAGGTGATCCGTGGGCGAACCCGCACATGGACTTTGCGGTGGAGAGCCTGCATGTAAGCTCGCTGGATAGCAGCAGATTACGGCTCCACGGGCTCAAGCGCAGCGGTTGCAAGCAAGCACGCAAGAAATCAGAGTCGTTTACTGAGGGGTGGAGTAAATCCGCACGCTACTGATTGCCATCGCTCGGTGATTCAGCGTTGGTTATTAGGCGCTCCTGCGGCACTTGCTCATGGAAACGTATGTGTTTGTATTGGCTAAGGTGCCTGGCTGACGTTACGCGGACTGCCTGCAAGACGCGAGCATGCTGTTGTGCCATTTAAAGCGCTAGGTCGTGGCGATCACCAAGCGATTTGTTACATGTAGAAAGATTCATGTGACGGACGGCGTGCCCGACAGGCGGCATTGAACTACGTGGCGAGTTCAAGCTGCGACGGCGCCAGTCGCCTCGAAAAGCGCAGTGCAACCGGTTGAACAAGGTGGCTACACCGCGGACTCGTCATTGGCCTCGTCGAGTCGTAACCGGGCCCAATTTTCTTAATTGGGTCTAATTTTGTGGCAGTAGCAACGCCTGTTTGGCGTTGAGTACTTCGAAGTAGAACCGAACTCCATGGCAACCGCTGAGTAGAAGAACACAGACCATTAGGAAGAATGAATTCTCTGAGCGAAACATTCCAACTCATGCAGAACCATGTATAAATAAATGCAAAGTATCAGAGGGCAATCCGAAAAATACGTTTTTAAATTTGTGAGCCATAGTCACTTTACTGTAATTTAGCCGTCCTGCTGGGCCTGACATTCGGATACATCATTTTTTGATGAAGCCGATCTTGCAGGGTACGTGTGCGCCAAATGGTGCACTCCTGAAACTTGGATTTTGCTTTCAAAATTTGGGCGCTCTAGCTAAATTGACGGTTACATAGTACAGCAGGCTGGGTTACCGGTACACTGGAAATCCAGGACGCGACGTTAATAACTGCGTGGTCGTATGACGAAGTGGATGTCCTGTCCTGGTGCTAGTATCAGCTTGTGATACATAGATTACAGCAGTTTAATTGCTAGAGGGTCTACCAGTACAGTAGCCTAGAAATCTCGTATCAAGCTAGCGATTGATACACTGAGTTTGAGAGATCCGCCAGAATCAGCTTTATTTAGTGCAAGCTGAGCGGGGCCTCGCAAGCGGAGATCTTTGTTCTCTTTATTTAGTATTTACGCTACCAGAGTTGTAAAGCCTCATAAAGCACGAGATCAAAAAAAAACGATAGTTTGGAGGAGTACCCTTTTGATAAAAGGTGTTTCCAAAATGGTCCTTTTTTGTCTCGCTTCATCGATTTTTCCGCTCAATGCACAGATATTGTCCCGATTAGCCAAAGCCCAGTTAATACGAAATGTAAGTGAAAATTGCCGGCTCTATTTGTTCAAGCGCTTTTCTCTGTCGTGATGTGGCGTACCTAGCATCAGCTGTTGTCGAGTCGAGTCGCACCGTCCTCGAGTCCATAACGGAGAAGACACACAGAGCCGCATAAGCCGAAGAAGCTGCTGCGAGCCAAACCTGCAACAGAGCACCCCCCCCCCCCCCCTCACTTCCACACCAGCCGGATTCGGCAAAGAGAGCGCGAGCACGACAGCAATTGACAGAGGAAAGATGACGGGCGACGGAGGCGTGGTCGCGCCGCGTAACGTGTTCGCAAAGCTGCCTTCATACAACCCCTTCGTGGGCACGTTTCATCACGCGCCAAGGTGCGTCCTGCTGGCTTGCTGCAGTTTTGTCCTTCCCGTTTTGCATCTTTTCTTCGCGTGGGGCTAACCTGCTGTATGACGCTTTCTATGCGACTGCAGCGCTGGAAACCGTGGCGCCGTCTACTTCTCGAGCGATATCGTTGACATGGCGGAACTCGAGGAGCGCAAGAAGTTTCGCCACCACCCGCTCACGGGAATTTTCCACTCGTTACCGGGTTACTACGACCCGCTACACAAGCTGGCGGCCTGCCGTCGTGTCATGACGGCCGAGGGCATCTACTCCGATACAGAGTCGCTGCGTTCCTTTGTGGCTATGGACATTACGGATAACGAGGACTTCGCGTCGCTCCAGCAGGCCTCGCAGATGAACCGCATGTACAGTGACTCTCGATGCATTCAGAACGCAGACCTCATGTCGCGTCCGCGCCGCTTTAGTGATGGCGACGCTGACCCGTTCTTTAATGGAACCAAGACCGGCTCACCCAACCACAAGAAGGACGGCAATATCGAATACCACGATGAATCTACGGATAGTGATGTGGACGAAGACCTTGCTGCTTTGGAGCATCAAACACCTCGCTCGCTACCGTTGAATATCCTATCGGTTACGGACAAATACGACGTCCCTCCACCCGTTGGAGCCTTGCCACCTCGACGCACGCCTTACAAGAAGGCGAGGAAGTCATCTGGTACGTCTTCCACTAGCACGGACAGCGAAGGGCTGTCTCCGGTGAAATCGTTCATCACGCCGAGCTATGAGCGCGCCGAGCTGGGCAAGTCTGCGGGCTGTTCGGAGTTAACCGACGGTTTTATCTCCACGGGTAAGGGCATTTTCAGGAAAGTTGGGTTACGTTCATCACTACACGAGCGACCGAATGACAAAGACAAGAACAAGCTCAGGACACCTCCTAAACTGAATATTCAACGTTCACTGAGCGAGGGAGACTCAGACGACGATATCAACAACGAATACACGCAGGCAGCACCTCGTATTCCTGCGAATCCGTTTGTAGCTAGACGTTTGAACGACGGTGATGAACTGCGTATCATGGCGATTCACCGTACAGGACGTCGCGACTCTCAAGCGCTTAAGAATGATCATGGTGAAAGCGACAGTGAGGACGAGTACAACCACCCAAAACCGTATTTTATTCACGAGAAGGCTGTCACTGAGCAGTATGAATTGGTTGGCGAAGATCAGTTGGGAGATGGTTCTTACGCTGTTGTCAAGCCTGCGATTCGTCGTGTGAATGGAAAAGAAGTCGCCATTAAGCAGATCCACAAGCGTTTCCTTCGTGACGAGGCTGCCAAGAATGCTGTGAGTCGTGAGATCGAGATCCATCTCCGGTTGCGTCACAAACACATTGTGCGTCTATATGAGGTCTATGAGACTCCGGATTTCCTGTACTTGGTCATGGCGAAGGCTACAAAGGGTAATCTGAAGGCGTTGATGCAGAGAAAGCGTATGCTTCCCGAGGCACTGGCAGGAAAACTATCGCAGCAAATTGTCCGTGCTGTACTATTCCTCCATGATATGGGTGTACTGCACTGTGACTTGAAGCCTGACAACATTTTGCTGAGCGATGCCAAGACAGCGAGTCTAGATAACGGCGAAAACTCCCCTACCATGCGCCGCAATTCTCCCCCCAAGTCGACTCTGGATCCTCATGCTGATGTCAAAGTCAATGACTACAACGTCGAGCTGTGTGACTTCGGGCTGTCTGTGAAGGTGCCGGATGTTCGCTTCTTCAAGCTGACAGGTGACGTTCACAAGGTCCCGTTCACAGGAGTAACGGGTACTTCGGGATACATTGCTCCTGAGTTGCTGCAGCAGCAGTCGTACGGCAAGCCGGTGGATATGTGGTCGGTGGGTATTATTATTTTCGAGATGTTGACCGGATACCAGCCATTCTACCCGCCGCATGCTTGCATCAATGAAGACGCGGACTTCTCAGACCGTGTGTGGAAGACGATCAGCGCCGATGCCAAGGACTTAGTTGAGCGTCTACTGGAGCGCGATCCCGCTAAGCGACTAACAGCCGCTGAGGCGCTGGCACACTCGTGGTTCGAGTCGGCCATGTTTGCCATTTAGATGCGCCATTTCACTTGGGCCCGCTCCTTCTGAGCCAAGCTGCGAGGAGCGATGAAAAAGAGTAACACGTTTTGGGTTATAGCACAAAGTACAAAAGAAGAGTATACTGCGAGATTGCCAATTTTCAATTCATAGTGGTTGCTCTGTTATGGCGTCAACCCGCTGATAAGAGGATCTGACGCCGTGTTATTGAGTCTTCGGTCTCTTGGCGCCTTTGTTATCAGCCCACTTGAAAAAATCGCACCTCGCATCAGGATTCCCCTTCTCACCCTGTTAATGAAAAACACATTTGTCAAAGAACATACATGGTGTTTCTCAGATAGAACTCACCGCTGGTTTAGTGCAGACGTAAAATTTGCGACCCCAATTCTCGTTCGTCTTCAGAACTGATCGAAGCACAGTCGGTTGACCACAATGGCATAAAGGTGTTGGAGGTGGCCGGCCATTAAGAACCTGTGCCCATTCTAGCTTTTCTTTTTCTGCTGGTTTCCGATTTTCAGACGTCTTCACAATTCGTACAGACTCAGAAAACATTCTGTACGTAGAGGATTCTTCACTCCAGGATACTTCACGATATGAAGGAGCCTTTCGTTTAGTGCCTGAATTACTGAAGAACGACGTAATTGACTGCTGGCCACGTTTCTTCGAGCGTAATGAAGAGCGCACTGGAGACGTCACGCTTTGTCCCGAGAGGTTTTCAGCACCAACACTGCGACTTTGAACGACAAACGACTTGATACTCTGTTGTGTGCCTGCGAACTCCGCGAATTTTTTGGCGCACAGTACTGCAGTAATTCCAATGTTGGTACTTGAATCTGTTTCTAACTCCACCGTGCACGACATCGCAACCGGACAGTGATCAGATCCAACGCGTTCTGCGTCAATACTATGCATGGAACACCCAGCAAAATGTAAGTAGCCAGTATATCACCGTAATAGTCGGCGGCGTACCTGCATGTAGATACACATTCGACGAACGTGGGGTCTACTAGAATATAGTCAATTCGGGTTCCATAATTTGTTTGACGCGCCCCTGTTTGAGTGTTCCAGCACTAATTTTCAAAGGACGAAAGGCAGGATTGTTAGTACGCTACATCTAATGTCTCGACTGAAAATAATATATACGTACCGTGAAAGCTTTAGCCTGATCAGGGTGAAAATGACGGTACGTGTCAATCAGTTTGACTCCAGTTACTCCGGTGATTTCGTCACGATTGGGTTCTGAAAGAGACGTCTCATCCGATGATCCAAGAAATGAGTCCATCCACTTTCGGCAAGGGTGATCTCCAAAAGAATTACCGTCCGATCGATGCGCTTGCGGGTCGCAATGGTCAATTTCTCGATGCGCAATATTAATATCTCCCTGCATTCAAACGACAAGTTGGTCCCGTGCATTTTCAAACAGTTATGCAAGCATCATGACGAACCACAACAACAACGCGCTTGTTTGCTGCTCGCAGAGCATTGACTCGGTCTTCTAGTAGCGCATGGAATTGGAGTTTGTATTCCAGGCGATCCGAGGACGCAAGAGCGGGACAATAAGTATTGAGCAGCACAAAAGCTTGGTGGTCGGTGATGATACACCGTCCTTCAGACTCCAGATCATTGACCAATTTTGATGGAAGCTGGAATATAGCGTAATAATAAGCGCAACAACGTCTATCAATTCGAGGTCTTGCCCTAAGGTAAGCAATGCAGATAGCTTACCTCGTTATGAAGAGATCCGACGTGCCCCACGTTGTCCTTAGTCTTCCAGAGCCCCGTGAGCCCTTCTTCAGCTGCTACCGTTGGCAGGTCGCTCTTAACAAACGTCACCACACCCGAGTATCCACCTCGATGTCGACAGAACGAGTAGAAAGCATCGAATCCTGGCGTAAAATGACATATTGGTTTTAAACACGTCTTCGGTTGCATGGACTCAAGTCGTCGGGCTCACCTGGAGGCCGCACCAGCTCTTCGTCAAGTTCCGAGCGCGTCAACTTCGATTCTTGCAGACAAATTATGTCGGCTTCGAGACTCTCCAGGAATTGCTGCAGATTCTGCTCCAGACGCTGCAGAACCGCACGCAGCCCATTGACGTTCCAAGTCACAAGTCGCAGCTTCCGCTTCATCTTGTCAAATGATTGTCCAAGTAGGTGCGATTATGTTTTTGTCCAATAATAGGCATACTTTATTTTCTTATCACCCAATCACAACCTTTGGCGCCGTTTCCTGTTGCGCGCGCATTGCCACTAAGGCATTGTGTCCATCTTCGTTATGAGCGTCGACGTCACTGCCATCCGCGCGGCCTTTGCGGCCTGCAACTTAGACCTGGAGGATGATGCAGCCAGCACGTGTGTGTCCATCTGCACGGAGTTCGGGCTGAGCTCGGACGATATGGCGGCGCAATGGGATGCCTACTCCATGAACCAGCAGCTCTCGGGAGCCGCCAACTCCGACGGCCTCGTGGCCTTCCGCTCGCACCTCAAGCAGCAGCAGCAGGTCAAGGCTCAGGAAGCAGTGCCCACCAGCGCCTCTCAGAAGAGACGTCATTCCAAGACACCAGTGGTAAAGCGTGAAGCGGACAGCCAAGACAAACTCGAGTCGTTATACAGCATGAAGTCGCCTGAGGGCAAGCACGCGCGTTCATTTTCCAGCCCAGCAGGAAGCAACAAGGTGCAGCGCAAGGAAGGCATGTTTTCACCCCCTTCCATGCAGTCTCCGCCTGGTAGTAGCTATGAGAAGCGCACAGACGCCGGCAAATCGATGACGGACTTCAACGCTCACTTGAGGAAGCAGATCGAAGGAATGGGAGCCAACACAGGGAAGCCTGTCGAGGTTAAGGCGCCCTTCCCGTCCCGTAATTTAACTCCGAACTCTTCGTACATGTACACGCCGTTATTCCAACGTGCCATAGCGCTGGATGAGCAGCTTGTCGAGTACGAGGAGCTTGTCAAGGAAAAGTTCAAACTAGAAGAAATCAAGCCAGTTGGAGACCCCTCGCCGGCACAAGTGACTGTAGTCGGACGTATCGTGTGTGAGGCAGCCGAGGGCAAGCTGAACCCCAGTGTCGTGCAGGTTGAAGGGTCCAGGAAGACTTGCGGTGGCCAGCGTGTGCTTCTCGACTTGAGTGCAGTCCCGAACTTCCAGATCTTCCCGGGCAAGGTTAGTTCTGCAATATTGTGGTCATATTTGCATGCAAATGGTAAGCTAACGCCATTGAAGATTGTTGCGTTGAAAGGTGTCTTCCCAGATACCCGCTCGCCGTTGGCAGTGAAGAGGTTCCTCGAGGTAAGTTCTGCCGCTCATTTTCTTGCATTGAATGTCATCTTATGCGGGTGCTTTTACTGTTGGTTTATAGCCAATTCCAGCACCACCTGCTACGTCTTCCCCAGCACGAATTAAAGAAATCCAAAGCGAGCACGGGAACCCTGTTCGTGTACTCACTGCTTGTGGCCCGTTCACGACCACTAGCAATGTGGACTACCTGCCCCTGAACGATTTGCTACAGATTGCAATTGACCAGAAGCCAGACGTACTCATTCTCGTAAGAAGAAATTGCTGTTGCTGATAGCATGGATGCGTCATTTATTGATACTCTCTGATGTTTTAAGGTGGGCCCGTTCATCGATTCGATGCACTCCATGTTCCAAGATGGACTGGTCAAGTACGATGGCATGATGCTGAGTTTCGAAGAGATCTTCCTGTTCAAAGGTAAATCGCTGCTAAGCGAGTGAAACTCCTCTACTAACCGTGGCTGCTGTCAATGTATTTTATTCGCTAATAGTGATGACACTACTGAACAACGTGCTATCACGAGACGAGCGGATTCAAGTTGTGATTGTTCCATCTTTGAGAGATGCCAACCACGAATACGTGTACCCTCAACCACCACTGAACAAGAAGAAAGCGTGTGAAGCCTTCGAGGTTGCTGATTATGCTAAGGTTAGAGGATTATTTGACTTTTGAAAACCATACTCGATTCTGGGTCTAACTGATTTTGTAACTGCAGCGCGTCCACTTCATGTCAAATCCTAGCACGTTCTCGATCAACGGAGTCGTGTTTGGAACGTCCGCATTGGACGTCGTGGTGCAACTCAGCTCAAATGAGCTTTACAGGTCAGTTTGCTCACACATATAGGTATATATATATATTGTTGAAAAATACCGTTGTTTCACTTTAGAGCTCAAGTTCGCGACCAAAACCGACTTCTCCGTCTGTGTGAACAAGTTGTCGACCAGCGAAGGTGCGCCGTGTACATATGCATGAATGTTGAAGCTTGCATTTCGAGACCCTTAACACGACTGTTATGCTCTGTTCAAATAATAGCTTCTACCCAATGTTCCCTCCACCTCCGAATAGCGAGGCGCCTATCGATCTGCGGTATATGAAGCAGTTCCAATTCGAGCAAACGCCCGACATCCTGCTGCTTCCTTCAATTCTCAACCGTTTTTGTGGGGTACGTCGCGCTAAACGAGTTTTTCATTTGTTTGCTTAGACGCACAATACTCACTTTGATCTTGTTCATCTAAAAAAAACAACAGCGCGTGAAAGATTCCATCTGCCTTAACCCCGGTCAGCTATGCAAGGGCGAGTCCGGTGGCACCTTCGCTCATATCACCATCCTTCCTTTGTCCAACGACAAAATCGAGAGCGCAACCGATGACAAGTGCGCCCACTTCGTGCCAGACCGAACAATTGTCGAGATCAAACGTATCTAGACAGTAGAGGAACGGATCGAAGTTATTCGACGTTACCTTATCTGGTGGTTATATACTTGGCGATAAGCTCCTTGTGCTGCAAACGAAAGTATCAGTAAAAGTAAACCAGGACGTTAAAGGCCACTAGATGGTTCCTGACCCGCCAGTTGGATAGCTCATTTGAGACGGCGTCAAACAAAAAGTGCCTAATCAACCATGAATTAAATCGCGTTTTAAGCACAGAATAGAAAAGATGGGCAACTGAGACCTCAAACAAAAAATTCCATTCAGCCGATTCTGGGAAATCGGTCGACGAAAATATTATCTCATCTCGGAGACCCAAAACCATTTTTTTTGATAATTTAGGCTCAAAAATTCAGCGAGGATTCCATTTTACATGTAGCTAATTCAGACTCTAAATGCTTCATTTTGCTGTTTTTGTTGTCCACCTCAATGTAGCCATATGTAGTTTTTGAAATTATTTCTGAAATTTAGAAATATGCGGTAAGACGGAGGTAAGTAACATTTCGAATTATCAGGAACATTACGAGATTAATTACTTAGTCTTTCATCTGTTTTTTCGCAGTGCTTCCGGAGGCATCGGTATCAGCCTCGGTCTCGTCCCGGGCTCGACGATCCTGGTTTGCTTGGGGAGCCACTGCCATGGCAGCACGGTGAGCACGTCGCGCCTGTTTTGCTTCTTTGGCGTCAATCCCTTCCCTTTCACTTGGTTTTGCGTACAGAGGGTCGTTTCGGAACTCCTCTGGTACGTATGGTCTGATGTTGTGGTACATGGTGTGGCTCTTTTCCACGTTCGGTGGAGGCGGGGGCAGCACTTCGACATGCTCGCACATCATTGTTGTCACCTTCTCCTTCGTCGTGAGAATGCCGTCTATCTTCCGACGCAAATACTTCACAACAGGCTCATCGTCGGGACTCTTTTTGCACGACACTACTCCCATGTCTTGATCATCCATGGAAAAGATTTGGAATTGCTGTATACCATCCAGACGCTTGTAGAGCTCAGTTAGAACCCCCTTGTATGTCTTGAATTGCTCACTACCACGGGGAATGTGAACCGTCACTGAGTTTGACGCGGCTGGTGTGATCGCTTCCACGACGTGGTCGACCGTGTATATGGGCGAAACCGCGGTCGCAAGAGTTCTCTGCGTGCCCTTTTACGATGAACTTGTAGTCCACGTGTTTTAAATTGACCTGCCAACTTGCGCCAAGAAAAACTTGATGACGTAATTGTTTTTGTTCTGGCCCGAGCAGTTGTCAGCATAAACCGTCAGCCGAGTCTTCCCTTCAGCAAACACCCTGGTTCTCAAAAGTGCTCCGGAATCGAGATGATCTGGTCACTACCTTTTCCACTGGTGGTTTCGTCGTAGAGATAGTTAGTTTGTGTACCATCGTTCTCGTAGTAGATACCGAAGCAGTTCACAGCTAGCAGTGAGCAAAAGTTCCACTGCGATGGAGTACTAGTAATACTGGGGAATGTCCGATTCTGCGAATAGTCCATGACAAGGACCACATGGTCATCCGACACTGCAGCCTTGTCGTTCTTGTACTCACACCTGGCAACAAAACAACATGATAATAATATCCACCGTTAAAAGGTAGCAGTTGTTCGAATTGATACCAATATCCTCTTACCGCATTCTGCGCGCCGACTCTGTGTGCCTTCCCAACACCTCGGCCTTCTTCGCAGTAACATCATTCCGCATACTTGCGTGGTAGATGGAGCAAACGTCACATACATTGCTTGTAGGGGACTGAATGCGAATTGTAGGGCAATACAACGTTAGAAGCTTTCTCATGGTTGAGCGAGCTGGCTCGCGTACTCGAAGGCGAATCTACTCCACGTAGCTGTGCATCTCTTCGTAAATAGCATCCCACGTGAAGTGTGCTGGCAGCAATGTGTACAACTCGCTATTGTAATACTTCTTCATGACTCCGCCTTTGGTCTTCTGCATCCGAACCCGAACAGGGACGACCTCGCCTACTTCTTCAGCAAACTCCTTAAACCACTTGACAAGCCACACCAAGTCGACCGCCGCAGCATTCTCGTTCAAGGTGTTGCCATGAGCCTTTACCCCGACGTTACCATCGCGAACGTGCTTCTTGTAACGTTGGACAGTGAGCGAAACAACCCCGTAGCAACGAGCGAATGTAGGGCGGCACACCTTACCAACGAACGGTTAGTAGTAGTTGAACTTCCCCCGGAGTCCATATCCACGAGACCGGTCAACAGGCACCTGCATTAGCGTTCCCAGCAGGGTGTACAGGCTGATTGTTTTTTCATCTCTGTTCATCGTTGACAGCGAACAAAAGACTCCAGCTGCTTGGTCTTGCCATCGACACAGCGGTTGTCACAGGCATCTTTCTGGATAATCGAAGTAACTTGACCCCAAAGATCGTGCTCCTTCAAATAGATACTAATGTCCTCAGTATCAACAGCGCCTTCAGCATTGCCATCACTGTCGCCGCTCTCTGTTGTCAGCGGCTCCTCATCTTCGCTGGACGCCTGGGAGTCGGGGGTGAAGGCTTCGTCCCCGCTGTCGTCCAGCTCGTCGCTGTCTCCCACATCGTCGTCGTCACCAGCGTCGCTGGCTTCACTGTCCCCGCCGTCACGTTGGCTTGCTGCCTCCTGGTTGCCGTCCACAGCTGCAGCCACTTCGGGGCCTGTAAGGACGCCGTGCATTTCATGCGTCGGTGCGAGGCTGTCACTGCCGGTAGGAGCTGGTCTAGACCCGTACGCTGCCAGTTCTTCCATAGTCTTCGATACGGTTGCTGCGGATACACTTCGTCCAAATTTTTGAAATTTGAAAATGGCTCTTAGCGCGGTAATTCACTTACGTACATGGCCAACATGGTTGATTAGTAACATTTGGTACGCCATGGTCTCAATTTGTAATTTCGCCATTCAAGGACAACATGGGCTTTCGTGCGATCCAAACGAAAAGCCTAATGATTCCGAAACATGTAGAGGCGGCAACTACTGCAAAGCGGTTCATGTGAACCACGGTGTTCGCTGCTTTGTGGACGGAATTAAGCGAAAGGTGACGCATAAAGAACCGAGAATGGCGTGATGAGCGCGAACGACAAGATCGCGGGCTTACTTGCCTCCTCCGGGTTAGGAACGTGACTTCGGGAGTAACCGTATCGCCTACAGCAATTCGGACGAGCAATTGAGCCTGTAAGTAAGAATGTTTCTTGGATCAAGGAGTTTCGTGAAGAAGACGTAGCCAATGCCATGACCTACCGAGTTGCCGTTCAAGATTAAGGTCGCGTTTGTGATGTTGTGTTTCAAACTCATGTCCATTGACTGCGAGAGCTCAACCATTGCCTGACTAAAGCTGCAGCAGTTCCAAAAGATCGTCGCATTCAAGACGCGCTGGTCCAATTACTATAGAAGATCGCTGTCATCGTTTAGTGCTCTAATGGGCGATCTTGAGCAGTGGATGAAGAAAGGTGTGGAGCCTCACAATACAATATCGATGCACTTTGGAGGCTATAAAGGAAAATCGTATGGCCTGAAGTACCATCTTGTGGATGGTCAATGGGAGGTGCTGCATAATGTCTACAAACGCCATGTACAAGGCACGTACGACGCTATCTTGGACAACGACACCTCGTTCCAACTGCGTGCTGCTACCCGCGAGATACTCTCTGAAAACGCATCATCTGATACACAGCACCACTCGACATCTCAGCCCCGAAGAGCGGCGACTTTTTCCTCACGAAAGTGAAATTGAATCAAACGGCCCCGGTTGGAGTGGGCATTAAATCTTTTCAAGTGAAGCCGAAAGTGGACGTGGAGACAAACGGTCTCCGTTTTACTATCTGCTCTCTAAACCGGCAGACCACGATAAGTTCTGTCTCGAATATCGCTTGGCGATAGTGGAGAAGGATAAACTAAGTACCAAGGACAACGGGGCTCAAGTATTGCTTATTAAGGTGCTGAAGATACTGTCGTGAAGGCGATGGCGTGTAGCTTCGAGACTTGATGAGGTTCGTGTGAAGCGAGTACCGCTAATGTGGCAAATACCGTTTTTTCTTGCGAGGGCAGCACGCAGCTTCCTCATTCGCCGCTGCCGTAATGCTGCAGCCTTAGCTTTCTCTGGGTCAATCCCACACTTGTGTTGCAATCCCTCTACCTTTTCTATCTCGTTAACCTCATTAATTTCCAAACCCGCGTGAAGTTATTTACGTTGAAGGGTTTTGCCATCTTTTTTCTCGACATTTTTTTCGGCTCTGCATTTTCTCCGGCCCCATTCTTCATGACCGACAACGGCATTTTTCCAAGGTGGTTTTTACCCTGCGATTCGTGCTGATGCTTCACTACGCTATTACTCGAACGTGATCCCAGTATGCCCTCTCGATCCGTGCCGTAGCGTCCAGGACGATTCATCTTGTTGTTACTTTCTGCCGCCCCTCACGTCGATCTCGTATGGCATCATCTCCGGTGGAGACGCTTTTGCTTTGTGCACCTTCATCTTCATGAGCTTCTTGTCGATGCTCCTTTTCAGCTGTGATGTGGCGTCGGATGAGTCGTCGTCTTCATCAAGTAGCAGTTAATTTCTTAAAACAAGTGTCTTGGAAAAGTTCCATTTTCGATGTGAACTTGTATAAGTAGACACAAGCTGTTTTAAAACTGATTAAGTAACAATCGGACTTGATTAAGTATACTATCAATGACAAAACTAGTAGATACTTTAAATAAAAATTCAAAATTAATGAATTTATTGTTTAAAATAAAAGTATGTTTAAAATTAACAAAAAGACCGTTTTACTTACGAAAAATATAATTCGGTTTGCTTTGGTAATAAAAAGTGGTCGGAAGCCAATATTTGGATGTTTTCAATGGAAAAAAATTAAATTTTAATGGTTTTTATCCCGATGAAAAACATAGGTTACACATTCGGAATGCGCTCAACAAGCACCCCGTCGAACGCTCCATCGAGCGATACACGACCTCTCTCGTAAGTCACATGCGTAGTGCCGTCCATACTTCATGCCCTTTGTGTATTTATCCCTTAAACGCGCTCCATTGCAGCTCCAATACGTCGTCGTTGACGTCAAAGGAATTCATCATGGGCCGCATCAAAGAAAATTTCGACCTGGAGACGCAGAGCTGTCTCGCGAAAGATTGCAATACATCATCTGATGCTGAGGTCAACCGTGGCAATTCCACTCAGCTGCAGTATCAGCTACGTCGACTGAGGCGGCGATGTGCTAAACTGGAGCGAAAATTGCAGGAAAAGGAGGCTGATATTCAGGCCATGCAAGAGCAGCAGCAGTTGCGATTCCCACTGCTGGTGCACGAGACAATGCGCAGTCTGCGCTCGCTAGATAGCAGTAAATCCGAGCAAATAGCAAACCCGTCGGTAGGTGGTCTGTGTGCGTGGTCGGATGACCTGGAGATTCACATTGAGGACATGTTGCAGGTTCTTTCCCATTCTGTGATAAGCAGCATCGCGCAAGATAGAATAGATACGGATGCTCGCATCCACGAGTACGAGCAGCAGGTTCGTAAGAGTATTTACCGTGGAGAGGAGGTGTTATGGCTGACTCTTGCGTTTGTAGATTGCTGAGTTGTACGAAGAGAACCAGCAGGAAAAACTTAAGAACGAAATGTTGAGCGAATGCCTTCGCGATCAAAAGCATGCCAAGGCGAAGTTGATGAAGGCTTGCAAACACGTTAAACAGGAGCTTCAAGCTATGAAAGATAGCGGATTAAGTCAAATGTTGGTGGATATTGAGGCGCGTTGTGACGCTTTGGAAAAGGAGAAAGCTCAGATAACGAAAGAGCTTTTAACCGAGCGCGCTTTGGTAAGTTGGTCGCTTTTAAAAGTTACAGTATCATGGTGATTATTAACGCGTTTCTTTACAGCGTGCAGAGCAAGAATCCCAGCAAAAGATTACCTCTAATCAACTTGATGATTTAGTTCTGGAATCAACCAGATGGGAAGGTATGCAGTGACCTTGCTTTGAGTTATCCGTTCTTGTCCTCTCTAATTTTGCGCTAACCTCTCGATAGATATTGTTACTAGAAAAAATGAACAGCTACAACAGTCACGGGATCAAATATGTGAGCAACAGCTGACGATTGAGAACTTGAAAGCTGACTTGAAAGGTGTGGAGCAAACGTTTAGCCGTCCTCGTGAACTATGTCGAGAAGATGAACAAGAAGAGGTCCGTCTCCTTCAAAATTCAGTGCTTATGAAATGTCGATCATTATGCTAACATTGCTCGTTATAAACCAGATGGAGCAATTAAAATCGACTCTCAGCATACAAAGGACAAAAATTGAAGAGGTTCAACGAGAACTGCAACGGCAAAAAACTGAGAACGACTTTTTACGCCATCGATTGGCTTCCCTGCACGGAGAAAGGCAATATCTAGATGATAATTCCTCGTGTGCATCTACAGAAACATACGATAAGGTGCTGATCCAGGTAAGAGGTCGTAACGCCGTGTATTTTGTCACTACTATTAATTGTGCTTCATTATTCGCCTCCCGTATTCAACAGGTTCGGTTTATAAAGAAGAGGCTGTGCGCACTAAGGGCACTGGTACAAACGTACGAAGAAACAAATACCCTCGACATCAACTTGCTCAGCGAAGAGGAGTTGTTTCGCAAAAATTTTCCCGATAACGATACAGTCGCTGCTCGATCATGTAAAGAATATGCGATGCAGCTTTCCGGGGGTATCTTGGAAGCGGCTCGATATGTGTCAGAGCTGCAGCAGGTAGTTGAAGATGCTTCTGCTCGATTATTGGGTAGTACTTGCGCGTTGCAGTAGTTGCGAGTGGGCTATGCTGTGAATGCCATTATCGCGTCTCACTTTAATATCGGGATCATATCACCGGGAGCCAAATTCAAACTACACGTATGATGCCCTATATCCTCTTGTGGACTCTCTTGCGCGTCCCCATATCCATTACTTGATCGTAGCAATATAATTTCGAAGGCCTCAACCGAAATTATGCTTGATATTAAACACCAAATATTGCCGAGCGATCCAACCTATGTATTAGTTTACAAAACCAACCATTACCTTGGTCATGTCGTTACTACTGTACTCAGCATTGCTTGCCCGGGCGGGCTCGCCCGGGGGATGACAGAGTTCGTAAGGCAGACAATATTGTAGTATCGAGGTGAATTTTGCGGATTTTGTAGTTTTTCTAAATGAAGTGTTCACGCAGGATGTGGACCTCGAAAATTCGTGTTGTAGTTGCTGTCCTCAACTACACTCTCATCGAGAAGAGACCAATATTTTCCACCCCTCATGGATTTATTGCATTAGGATTAGACACTCCTACGTGATGTTCAACCGCCGAAGCCGTACAGGATTCGACCTTGGCGTTTGAGCGCGTAAATGACGTCCATTCCTGTGATCGTCTTGCGGTGTCCGTGCTCCGAATAGGTGATCGCGTCTTGAATGGCACTCGACAAAAATGTCCTCAGCACTGCGCGCGTCTCGTGGTGGACCAAGACGGAGATGCGAACCACACCAGCCCGACGAGCAAGGCGTCGAATCGCTGGCTTAGTGATGCCTTGTATGTTGTCTCGAAGAATCTTGCGATGACGCCTGGCACCTCCTGTGCCGTGACCAGCAGCGCCGAGGCCGCGACCAGACACAGTTGTCGTTGAGCCGAAAGAAGGTGGTGTGTGTGCTAAGTCGAAAGTTGGCAAATGGTCGCGTGCCATGGCTGGCGGTGCAACAAGTTGTTGCCAACAACCAGCAGATAGATACAACACTAACGACTTGGACTATAGTTTTATTATTAAGCCTTTGATGCAGCTGTGTGTATTGGGTGTGAGCTACGCTACACAGTGGTTCTGTCGAATGTTAAGCATTTCGTAGCACAGAAAGAAGACTTAAACGCGGGATGGCGGGGCGAATGCCTCCGGGATCTTGGTTGGAGCTTGGCGAGGTAGATGAACTTTCGGAAGTGGCAAAGTCTCTCCTCGGCAAGCAGCGACCTCATTGATCCTACATACATTATAAATAACTACAGTACTGTTGAGATCCTTCAACTATGTAACTGAGGACGTTGGCATAAGACACCAGAGAGAGAATCTCCGACA